AATCCAAATCCAGACCTCAACCTAATCAAAAACGTTTCTTTTATAAACTTCTCTGAATGTTCCTCTCTTACTCCAGGAATGAATATTGCATTTACCAGCAGTTCTTTCCCCAGCGGAGTGCACTATATGGATTACAACAGGCATTATCACTCTCCAGTGTGCAGTTACTTTCCAGTTGAGTGACCATCTTTTTTTTACCTTATACTGAATATCTTTTCCAGAAGTTGTTTGACAACTGCATTTGAGGGATCAACACAATAAATTGGTATATCTATATCTTTCTATCGCTACAGATCGAACATAAAACTAAGAAAGATATCGTTCGATATAATGGTATCAGATTTTTCTCTCTCCCCAATATTGATATTGGCCTCAAAAATCCCATATTGGTCGGGCTCAGAAATAACCTCTACTAGCAATGGCCAACTTTTCTGTGCTTCTAGTGTAGCTGAAAGTTAACCATAAAGTACTTGAGGCGAGGAGGATTTCAGTTTCAGTGAGTGTGAATTTTTTTAGGTTTAACAAGCAACTTGAGAAGAAAGGATGGAGTTAAAGTTGATAGACTTTAGAGTTTTAAGAGTGGAGGTGACTGGAAGTTGCACTTGCATTAAGATATCTGTTGATAAAGTTAATAAATAACTAAATTGTCCTCTTTAGATGATGGCAGATAAGATCCAGGATTGCATTACGGCCAATGATCGAGTACTTTGCCTACAGATTTGATCTTTGAATTGAGTTTATACTCAAGCAGAACAAGTTTGTTCAAAATCAAAGTAGTTGTCCCTGACAATACCACGAAGAGTTGCAGATATTGTTTTAATTAACAGATTAAGGCAACATTTTCATTGTCTCCTCGAGGGTCAACTTAATGTCATACTCAATTGTTTACTTGAATTGGGATAGAAATTAGAGCTGAAACTAAATTTGATGCCCTTCTCACCTTTGCTCGGCTGCTTTATCACTGTGTTAATCCTGCATAGTTGATGAAGAGGTGAGGCGGTATGCACACCATTTTATCAACTGAAAGCATTTTACAGAACACACACTGAAAGATTAAGACTCTCCTGGCCTTTTAAACCCATTCGTTTTAAACTCCAAGCCAGTTTACAAGTCATTTGTTTTAATATAAATGTATCTGTACTCTGTAACCCCGAGCAGAGATAACCCCAGGTTGATAGAAATTCTACAATTCATTTAGCTGATGCTTCTATCCATAGTAACGATATCATTGTGACTTCATACAGGGCATTTCCTTCACTTTGAAAAATCCCCTCTAGACAAAAAAAATACATTTTATCTTCCCAAGCAGAGAAGGGCCAATCTCTTTATTTAGAACCACCTCGTCTCCTGTTCGTTTCCCTCCCTCTTCCTTTTTGCACGGGGTTCGGCTGCCATGGCACCCAGCACGGTATCCATTCAGTGTATGACAATGAGAGTAAAGTCGGTGGCCTGGTCTTAGATTACATGAACACAGAGGTCTGTTTTCCACTCAAGAGGAGACGGTTACAACAGTGAAATCCCCTGACTGTCACGCCTGCTAATGTTAGACTCAATAAACACCAATCCTCTTTCGTTTAATCTTTTTTCCCCACAAATAAACTATCTCTTCTCTGTTGAATTTTTTACTCAGTATTGCTCTGAGACTGTAATAAGTGGCTGGTATTTTGGTGTGTATTTCTGTTTTTAAACTTCCTTAAGAGTATAAATCCTGTCCAACAGGATATCCTGCTTTGAAACAGGACATGGATAACACTTGAGCTCTCTCTCTCTCTCTTGGGTTCCATTTAAAAAAGGTAGTTTTTCCCCTAAGTTTATTGATTAAGACGTACATTTTGTGCTTTCCCGTCCTCTGACCCCATCGTATCCTTTGCTTGCCTTTTCCCATTAACAGCCGCATTAAGTGGTTGCTATTTGGACGACCAGCCAGACATTCCTATAGGAAGTTGACAACAATGAGGAGCTAAGTCAGCAGCACTAATTCACTGCCCAGGGAGACTCCTATTGAGATATCCGCTCTGAGGTTTAGTCAGATTAACGTCTTCTGTCGGAGTTGGGGCGAAGCAGATGGATTTTCTTTACGATCCCACCGTGTGTCATGGGATCCGTTTTAGAGAGAAAGACCCCTCTCTGTGAGAATTACGAGTCTTAAGTGAGCGCACTGTGCTGATAATTGTGGTTTTTTTAACTGACTCTGCTTGACACATGAAGATGAAATATTTTCTGTTTAATGTTCTCTTATCTCCCCTGACGGAGAAGTGTTTTCTGCCCGCTCAATCACTGCAGAATGTTTTTATTGGGCGGGTAGAAATTGTGTCTGGTAAATTGGGAAAACCATTTTGGTGGTTTGAACCTATGAAAAATTGGGCAAACTTACAATAAATATGCCCATTCTCTCCTATTTAAACTTCATGTATTAATACTTGTGTATAACTTAGTGTATAAAAATCTTAGAATTGAGACCTTAACTTTAACATGTGGCGGGTCAACCCCATGGTGTTCATTGAAAGCAGGAAGGCCCTAAATAAGCGTCTTTAGCTGTTTTCACACATGCACTCCGGAAAGTTTATAGAAAATGTTAGAACAGCCTGTCTGTGAATTTACCTGAGTTACTTGTTTTCGTGTCCTTCACAGAATGAAGTTTTATCTGTCGGGTGGGAGGTGGGGGTCTCAGGAGGCAAGACTTGACATAAAAAAAAGAAATGGCAGATTGCTGATGAAGCGACAGTTCAGACTGACACTTAATGATAGCTTTGAGTAATCCGATATATTCACATTATCTAGAACCAATTCAATCATACTGGCTAGCAGAAAATAGACTTAATTTCTGAATATTTTCACACATTGGCTCAGCCTGAGATTTTAGTAGGGAAAAGGTTTTCATGGTTTTTCAGCAAACAGCTTTGGTTAGTTAACTGTTTGACACCTACAAGCAATGAAGGAGTTAAAACACATGCCTAGAATTAAAGTCTTTATTTCGCTCAGCTAAACATGCATCATGCACTTCAATACTTTTAGTTTATTTCAACTAGACTGACCCTTTTTAATCCCCCTTCTGATGATATTTTTTTTTCCATTTTAATGGTTTTCCATTTGGCTGCTTCATGTCAGTCATATCTGGACAAACTGTCTGTGGTTCTTCATTGGTCGTATTAACTTTGAGTAGCAAAAAAATAAAAAGTCTGTTTACACATTTCTTGTCAAACAAAAATTATTGGTGGGCGTGCCCTGATTGATTGTGTGTGTGTGTTCTGTCATGCTTTACCACAGCATATATTTGATTTGTTGTTTATTTTACCATCCTCGGACTTAAGTGGTTCAAGTGTGAGAGTTGTAAATGTTTAGTTTACACCAAGTGAGAGCTGGGCAGTGTTTTCATTGTACATCCTGAGACTGAAGGGAGAATCACTCACGGTTGCACACAGACGTCACATGGCCAAGTTTAGGTCTGACTTTTCTCATGCAGTGCAGTCATGAAAACTGATAACCACATTGAATTTACATTGGAAAACTATCGAAGTCAAAAAGGTGCCCACAGATTGTATGAGCTTAATACAATGCAGAAAAGTATTTTTGTGTTGGATCAGTTTTATCTGTTACCTGTTCTCCTCCTCTCGTAAATCAGGTGTAGCTGATTAACTAAAACAAATTTTCCAGTCCTGTGGGTAAGGACATGTTCATGCCCATGAAGGCTTTTTCATATAAAGGGAGTCTGTGTTAAGTTAGTCAAAGTGCTAATCATTCACCAGCATTGAGATAGTTTGTTTTAGTGCCTTTTCTTCGCTCACTTCTTTAGTAAACATGACATTTTGTGCCCTGTGTATGAGTATATTATTGTTGAGAATAAAACAGCAGATATAGGAGCCCTCATGTTCATGTTTTTGATCATAATTTAGTTTGTAAAATAAATAACTTTTCATTAAGGCTGCAGAGGCTAAGCAAACATTTCTCTCTTGTCCTTTAACGTTTTTGAAGAGGGGTTTGTATTGATTTCTTGGCGATCCCTTTATTGTTATGCAGAGAAACAAAAAACCGCAGTCTGCGTTCTTATTGTAACCATAACCACAACAAAGCTATGCCTACCCAAACCAAAACATACATAGGCATTTAAACTCAACCCTGTCTCTTATTTCCTGAAGGAAACAAAAAAATATGCATTATTATGCCTTAATACACTTTCATGTTTTGAAGACAACCACCAGCTTCTCTTCCCACAAAAGCCCTATCGGATTGATTTTTTTTTTAATAGGCAATGATCCTATTAGAGACTGCCATGTGTACGATGAGGATACTAAATATTGAAATACAACTGTGTCATGTCATGATTGCCTGTCCAATTAATGGTGCATTTTTATGACATATCCTGTTCCTTTTTTTTCCATTCACTTTGCTTAAGAAAACCCTGTTTGCCTGAATGAGCGTAACCACTGCATGTTGCTTTAATTACATTTCTCCATATGTGAAACTCTGTTGGTTGTTTTTTGATTCTGAAATATTTCTAAAATGTCTGGTAAGCTTTAAAGCTTTATAGCCTTGTGGCTTCTGTCTAATAGGGTCCCTCGGTTTGTTTGCATGTTTAATAATATTTTTCAAAGGCTATTTTTTCCCAAACTGTCTCTGTCTTTTTTCTGGGTCTCTCTCACTTTCGGTAACATGTTTGTCTTAGGGCACCTCCTAGACGTTCGGGGCCGTGTGATATGTCGGGCAGGATATCTGATCTGCCCAGCAGGCGGACCTGTGGTCACTTCTGTGGGAGTAATGGAATTCTGCGGTCTATCCCAATACAGATGGAATTTTCAAAGGCAGTCAGGCATGGTTCATATAACTCGGATAAATAGACCACCTCGGCCATGATTTAGAAGGTGGTCTGGAGAGGAATGTCAACTTGAGGTTGTTTTCACTGGCACCACAAGCCAGAGAGAGACCTCTCTAACCCAGGTGTGTTTGTATGTGCTGCAGCAGGCCCACCTGTTTTCAACCAGTAATCTGTTTGTGTGTTTCAGGTGATCTGTCACCAGTGCAGATGTCTGCTGTCCCACAGTCCCAGTTCATTCCCTTGTCTGAGGTGTTGTGCTCCGTCATCTCAGATATGAACTCCTCTCAAATCATCGTCAACCAGGAAGCACTTATTAATTACATGAGCAAAGCCCATCCAGGTAATCCATAATATACTTCCTCATCTCGTGTCAACTGCAGTTAAATGTGAAGATTGATACAGTTCCCATACCAGAAATAGGAAGCCTGTTAGCTTCCCAAAGACAGGAAACAGGAAGAAAACAACCGAGGGTCTCTCAAAGGTTATACAATCTGTTAACCAGCTTTTAAGCAGTTACTGGATATTTTGTGTTTAGTTTAACACCTTGTGTGCCTGTGTAGATATTTTTTTAAATCTTTCAAAACAAAAGTTAAATGCTAGATAAAAGTGACACAGAGCTGTACCCATTTTTAAATTGTTGTATCTTAAATTTCTAATTTAGATTAGTTTATATACTATTTGTATTTTCATATTGTGGTATATGTATTTTAATGTATCCTCATATAGTGTTATTGGGTTGTATGTTATTGAATATTATTGTGTTATTGTATGATCAAGAGTTGGAAATTAGCATTAGTTACAAACTCTCTGCAGCACATTAGTTTCATGTTTTTTATTGAAACTGTTAAATCATCGTCCCTATTAAATAAATAAAAAATTCAAAGTTAATTCTTTAGTAGGCTACACCTTGGCATACTATTCAGCACTGCCCACTGTGAGGAATATAGTCTCCGTACAGGGGGTGTGTTTTCCTGTCTTTTTGCTTGGCTAAGCTTAAGTTCTGACGGCTGTAGCATCATGTATTACTTCAATCCTCTTAAATAATTAACTAATTGTCCTGGTTCACAATAGTAGAACATTTGTTTAATAGGATTTTAAGACATGGGTTTTTATTCCTAACATATTTTTTCCTCTTTCTTGTCTTTGCTCTTTCTATGTCTTAGGGATAACTATTCCCACTCAGGACATCCTCTACAATGCTCTTGGCACTCTCATAAAGGAGCGCAAAATCTACCATACAGGCGAGGGATACTTCATCGTCACACCTCAGACCTATTTCATTACCAACAACATGGTCCGAGAGAAGAGCTGGTGGACTTCTGGTTCAGCAGAAGACCCTCCCTCACCTCCTCCCATTACTTACCTATTGAGCAACGATGTATGTGTGGAAAGCACTCAAACTCCACCAGTGGCGCACTGCAAGTCTTGCAGCTGCTTCAGTCCTCTTCAAACATCCTCTAATATTACCTCCACCACTTTAACAGCTACCATCCCACCCTCTACTGTCCCAGACCAGCATTCTGTCTCTGTTTCTATAAGTGAATGCACAGGCAAGAGCTTAAAGTGGCCAAGGCCATTAGATCACAAACCCACAGTGCAGCATCAGTCCACCTCAACAGCTGCAGATTGTCAGGCAAGTGAGATCAGCAAAACTACAGCCACTACTAACGCCACTGGCCGCAAAGAAAAAGACAGCAAACCAGGTAGGAAGTTTGGTCTCAGTTTGTTTCGTAGGAATGGAGGTAAAAAGGAGAAGCCAAAGAAGGAGTATGCATCATTTTCAGGCCAGTTTCCTCCAGAAGAGTGGCCGGTGCGAGACGAAGACGACCTCAACAACTTACCCCGTGATCTGGAACATGCCATCATCAAACGGATCAACCCTGAACTGACCGTGGACAACCTGACACGCCACACGGTCTTAATGAAGAAGCTGGAGGAGAGGAAAGAGAGAGGGAATGACAGAGTGCTTGACAGGGCCCTGGAAAAGGACGATAAGGGAGTTGACAAGGGAATGTCTACTGAGATCCTAACCTTTTCCAAACCAAGGCATCATCACTCGTCTAAGGCAGGAGCAGGGAAAAGATCTGCTCAGAAGGCCTCTCGGAGCAGGAGGAGGGCCCATTCCTCCAAAGAGAAGCAGCGGGAAAGGGTGAAGGAGAGGATTAAGAGTAAGGCCCCTATATGTGTAGATGATTATCCGGAGGGGGAGGATTTGATACCGTCTCGACTCAGAGTGGAAATCCCTGCTGACGAACCAGATCAAGTGGAAGAAGGAGGAGCTGTTGAGGGAAAATCTCTGTATAAGAAACGTATTGACAACCCTTTCCAAACGAATCCAATAAAAGAAACTGACTCCACTACACCTTCCAACATCAACAAAGAGAACAGAAGACGAGAAATGAAAGAGGGAAAGGCTTCAGGGCCAGGGAGGAAGGAACGAGCCGGTCACCGCTCCAAATCGTGGGATCCGCATCGAGCCAAAGTGATCCCAGCAGATGGTGAGAATGCAGGAAAGTCCCCAACATCTGAGGACAGGTACAACTGTGTCCATGAGAGGGACCTTACTGATGATCATCCGAGCCAAGCAGGCATAAAGATAAGCAGAGAACTGCCACTTGACTACAGCTCAGCCTACCCACAGAGCAGTACGCTCCGGATAGACGACAAGGTCCGACATCAGAGGGAAGGCAAGGAGAGCTGGGAGAAAGAGGGATTTTTTCCAGAGGTTGAGTCCAACACAGTACCAAACCAAAACAAAACCATAGATGATTGTCTTTCACATATCCAACAATACTCGAATACTAATGTCGACCACCCTGCCCATCCCCATGAGCAAGCCATCAGTCACTCATACGACCCAAGTCTGCCCTGGCCGAAGCCTTCTTTACAGCGTAAACACTCCCTCAGACTCTCAAACCCTCAAAGGAATGACGTCCAATTACCTGACAAACTCCTTTCACTCCAGCAGGGAAGTCAAATTAAAGCCTTCGAGGAACATCAGGATACAAGATGTTTCCTTGTCGGTAACAGAGTGGAAAGGACTATGAGCAAAGGAGACAGGATGGATCTGATAGCTGATAGAACTCATTCTATAACGGACACTGACGGCTTCATAGAAGACGACTTCAGACTCTATCAGAGAGTAGAGGAGCGGGAGGATGAAGACGCCTGCAGCTCCTTGTGTCTGAATGAGGAGGAGATAATTGATTCTGGGAATGTGTACCAAACAAGATTAGTGGACTTTTGCGACCACCCGTTGGTTTACCATAGTCATGAATCAGATTTGCAGTATCAGGGAAACAACAGTCACTATTACAATTCTGACTTGCACCAACCACAGGTTGCCTTGATACAAGATTCAAGGGACAACACTTTTAAAGAAACCAAGAGGGAAGCTTCCCTCAGCCCGACAAGACCTGGAGAGACCAGCTGGAGAGTCCACCATCACCATCAGAGGACTAGATCACCAGGGGCCAAAAGTGGTTCTATCCCCAGGCAAGTAACATTGACCCAGGACACAGGACATGAGGTCAGCCTGGATTTGGATTGTCCTGAACCATCTGAAGTTGCAGACAGCAGCATCTTCGACTACTGCCAGACAAGTGAGGTAGAGTCAGACACAGAAACTGTCCGCAAGTCAGCCGATGAGGGCGACGGGGAATCAGCTCGATGGATGGCTGATGTGGAGGAAGTGCACGACGATGAGTTCAACCAGACAGAAGGTCCTCAAACCCACAGAGCTGTTATGAGCATGGCCAGTGGAGCCAGAGGGGCAGATACTGGGGAAGTGGTGGAAATGGGAGAGAACCAGAGTATCACAGGCGACAGTGGTATAGATTCTCCTCGGTGAGTGCCTCTCCTTAATAGCTGTTCAAATTAAGTGTTATTAGATACCTTGTATTATGTTTCCATTTCATTATAGTTCACTTTGAGACAAGGGACATCTTTCTAAGAGACTATATTTACTGAAAGTGAGACAGCTAACACAGACTTATTGAAGAAAAACAGGTTTTTGTAAAAGGAAAAATATCACAACCAACAAGAAAAAAACCCCAATGCATAACCAAGATCCACATTTTCTTTAACGTGGTGATTTCACACCTTAGGCTCCAGTTCTACCTCTTACACTAGACTCTATCCCTCTGCATTCTGGAGGAGACAGGCAAAATAAACACTATACTTTGGTTAGTTAACCTCTAGGTTATTTGCCTGTGGTTGGCCTTCCTCCCAATTTGAGTTTTTTCCTTTAAAGTCAAGCTGAGCAAACACCTTGTGAGCAATTACAGCATCCAGTATTTGGACAGAAGGGAGTCATTTTGATAATTATGTGTAATTGCTGAGCAGCACTTAAACTCTCATATTGTAATCAAAGAGGCAGAAAAGACTCTTTTTCTGACATTGAACTCTCTCTGCTCCTACGCTATCGGCGGACAGATGGTGCTCATGAGAACATCATCCTTTACAAACTATGTGGCATATTTATAGATGTAATCAACCTCATGCACACCTCTTTCTGCTCTACAGGACCCGTGTTAGCCTGGCCTCCAGCAACACTGTCATTCTGGAGGGTCTCAAGAGGAGAGGCTTTCTACAAAACTTGGAGAAACTGCATGCAAAGAGCAGCGCCATTCGGCCACAGAGCTCGCTGCTACAGTTGACTCCAGTCATGAACGTATAATGATTTCTTTAATACGTAAAAGCCAAAACCACAAGATTGAATATTTGTTTCCATGCAATTTCTAGGTCAGAAACATATCCAACACATTTACCTGACAACAATTAGTCTTTTTGTACAGGTGTAAAGTATAAATAAATATTTTTCTTTCTGTAAATAATTTTAAATATATGCTGACTTTTTTTTTCATTCAATGAACATCTTCTGTTAATTGTGTGTATTGTCATTGAATTTGATATAAATGTACAGTTATCTTTCTTTAAATGATCCATTGGCTATCATTTTCAAAGCATTAACTTCTCATTGCATAACCTTTTGACCCGTTAAGTAGGAATTCTTAAATAAAATTGTGTATGTCAAATCATGTGTCTTTCTTTTCCAGATTTTTGCACTGTTGAAAAACATTTATCTGAATGACATAAAAAAGAAAAACTAATTTACCCACAGAAACAATCCAAATTATCTCAACAAATAGTTTTTTTTAAATACTTGACTTTGCATTTATGGTTTTATTTATGGATATCTTACAGCCAACTACCAGATTTCATTTATATTTATCTTTAATTTACAGTTTAGTGTATTTTTTGGTGGACTGTTGGTTTGAGATCATTTTACATTTGTATGGGCTCAAAGCATGTTAGTGTTATCTCTAGTATAGTGTAAATATCTGTGATACTAACCAGACATCCTTATGGACCGAGGGCAGATAAGCCATTCATCCTGAAGGTTACAATGATGGTATGAAAGACCTCCAGCTGTGAATGAAAGAAAACCAGCAGAGTATATGATAGTTTCCTGTCATTGTTTTTTTTAACACAGTTCCCATGAGTTTAACCCCACATAGATAACCCTTAAAACTAACTCAGCTGGAATGACAGCTTGAGTTGGTTTAATAGCCAAAGATGACAGTCCCAGACTTCACTGTTATAGCCTTAAGGACAATGAACCTATAATTTAAGTAAAAAAAAAAAAAGCAGAGGGGCATAAATTCCTTTCCCACATCTTTCATCACTGTTGAATATATTTCACTACCATCCTGCTTGCTAGATTAGAAAAGAGTGACACCATGTGGACACATTAAGGAAGTGCAATTATGAGCGATGTTCCTGAGTTGCTCAGTCAAATATATCTGACGACTATTATTACTTAATATTGAGCCTTTACTCAAAGCTACATGCTATCTACATGGAATACAAAAATGAGAGACATATGTCCTTTCTTTTTCTATACCAAACTCAATTGATTAAACACCACAGGAGAGTCAACAACCTTTATTTATCCATATATGTGCCACTCAGAAATTGGGAAGGTGTTACAGGATTTGCCCTTAAGAGAAGCCTATATGGATGATTTACAATTTCTTTCTACAATGAGGCCATTGACAAAAATGAAGGGGAAAGGAAATAAAGACAATATGGTCGTAACAGTGTAAACACATGGTAATATACACAAAAGCAACAAAAAAAAGCAACAGGTATCAGTGACATCAAATTAAAATGTAGGGTAAGTTAGTATGAATAAGAACAAAAGACGCCTGAAAAATCCCTAACTTTTTTTCTCAACAGCTCGGCATACATTTCTACATAGCATGCAATAAGGCACCTATCTAACACAAGGAAGAAAACTATGCTACAGTCTGAAGCACAACTGTTATCCAAATAAGAGAAAATATTGCTCACCATGTTCACTCCCATAAAAACTGTATATCTCTCATTCCCTTTCATATAACCCAAGCCATATCTAAAAAAATACATCAGTTTGTAAAAGATATTTTACACAGAACAGTAAATAGAGCGCAATCCATTAGAATTCAGGAAAAAATCTTTAAGTCTTGTAAAAGTGAGATAACCTCTTGTAGTCTTTTAGTACACACAACTTTATTTTTTTTTTCAGATCAAATTGTGAGAAGTCGCAGATCAACATGACTGAGTTACCTTTATTCAACACACAGGTAATTGAATTAGTATCTGAAGCATTTAAAGTGTGATTTTGCATTTCATGTACATTTGGTGCACAGGTACCAAAGGAAAATGCACAGTAAAAAATTAGGACACAGGTCATGTTGTTATATGCTACCCAGTAGGTTTTTTATTTTCTATTATGCATTTCCTCATGGCTAACTGCATGTCATAATAGAATTAGGGTGTCAGCCAGTATTGCTCTCTGTACAGTCTTTGCAGCAGTGCTAAACCATCTTAGACATGGAAGAAAACAACCTTATAAACATACAAGATGGCTCTTGTCTGATGGAGCCCAAATTCAAGAACAAGCTGGATGAGAACACCTGAAACCTGTTTATCTCCAACACTTAAAACAAATTAAAGTCATAAAAGAAAAAAAAAAAAAAAAGGTGGCGACAAAGTGGATCTTTCTATCAAAAATGTAATCTTTTGGAACAGCACACTAGTCACCTATACATATATATAAAAGAAAAATCAATAAGTATTTACATTGGATTTCTGATGTTTGCTTCAAATGGGTTATGTGGGTGAAAAAGGACACATTTAAATTGAGACAACAGTTCACCAATTGTGTTGGTAGCATTGAATAAAGTTGCAGCTGAAAAGCGCAGGTGCCCACCTGAAGGTACATAAACTGAATTCTTTTATCAAAACGACTTATCAGAGGGTTAAGCAAATTTTCCCCGGGTAACAATTTTTTCACATCGATCGTCAATTTTGTTTTTTCCTTTAAAAGTGTTCAAAAGAGGTCCTGGAGCAAGTGAAGCACAATCACAAACAGGAAACAGAGGCTCCTTCACAATTTAATATCACCCTCTTTTTACTGAGCACAAAGTCCCGGGTTCAGCTCTGGATTAAAGATCACGTAGTCCTTTCCTTTTGAAGACTTGAGTGTTACTGTCCATTTAGTCTCAGCTGCTCCACTTTAACGTAGTAATTCGCTGTCCTGACCATTTTTGTCAATGGAAGTTGAACTGGTGTTTCCTGTGGTGTTCCAATATTAACGATGGGACCATTGTTAAAAGAGAAACAGGGTGTGGGAGCATGGATATTTGCACTTGCATGTCAGGGTGGGAGAAGGGGCTCACTGATCTACATGGATCCTGTGATGTCTGGAGAGCGAAGATGAATGGTTAAAGCCTTTTCCACACTGGGAGCACCTGTATGGTTTTTCAACAGACAGGGTGCGCTGTTTTGGGAAGGCGTTGTTAGGGAAACCCTTCCCTGTGGGAATGGTGGTGTACTGCTGCGGTTGTGGCGGCGGCGGTTGCGGCAGCTGCTGCTGTTGTTTGCCCTCCAAGTGGACTCTCTGATGCCGAGCCAGGGAGGAGGAGTGATTGAATCTTTTGCCACAGTGAGCGCACGTATAACTCTTTCCCTCAGAGTGGACTCTTTGGTGCCGGGACAGGGAAGAGGAATGATTGAAGCCCTTGTCACAGTGGTGGCACATGTAGGGCTTGTCTCCCTGCTGGTGCACCCGCTGCTTGGGGGGAGTGCCGTAGGACAGGGTTTTTCCAGGCTGAGGAGGAGAAAACACTGGGTTCTGCAGGTGGGTCTTGTGGTGGCGAGAGAGAGAAGATGAATGATTGAAGCCCTTGTTACAATGTCTGCAGGTGTAGGGCTTCCCTCCGGCATGGACTTGCTGGTGCTTCTTCAGATGACGTTTACGGACAAAGCTCTTCCTGCACATGTTGCATTTGTATGGCTTCTCACCCGAGTGGATCCTCTGGTGCTCTCTCAGAGTGGCAGCTGCAGCAAAACACTTTCCACATTGTGCGCACCGGTGGGGTTTGTCGCCGAGCACAACAGCAGCGTGAGTCTTCTGGTGCTGCTTCAGGTTGGAAGTTGTAGCGAAGCCTTTGCCACATTGGCCACAGGTATATGGCTTCTCACGTGCATGGACCTCCTGATGTTTTTTCAGATGCCTCCTCCGGACAAAGCTCTTCCTGCATTGGGTGCACTTGTAGGGTTTATCCTCTGAATGCATCTTCATGTGCTCTCTCAGGGTGATGGCAGCTGCAAAGCTCTTACCACACTCTGAGCATCTGTGCGGCTTGTCTGGTAAATGAATCATCTGATGGGACTTGAGGCTGAAGGCATCAATAACATCTTTGCCCATAATATCAACTCCAGGGGGAACATAGGGCTTTTCTTTCATGTGAATCTTCATGTGCTGCTTAAGGCTGGCCTCCACAGCAAAGCTCTCACCACAGTGGACACAGATGTAAGGGTTAAGGTCCTTGTGTATCTCAAAATGCTGGTGAAGATCAGCTATGCTGCCGAAAATCTCTCCACACTCGTTGCACTGCAGACCATGAGCTTCATGTATGATCACACCATTCTCGGATTCCACTGTCAACTCCCCACCATGGTCAGACTCAACTTTTACCACGTGTTCGCTTTCCGCCTTGAGCAGCACCTCGCCCAGCAGAGCCTCACTCCCTGATGTCTTGATCTCTGCTCCTGTGAAACAGTGCATCTCGCCATGTTCCACCTTTATGTAATCATGGTCTGTTTCAGCTACAATTGCATCCACACAGGCTACAGCTCCGAGCCCTTCTCCCAGCCCCTGGATCTTTAAGTCTGAGCCATGGATCTCCAGCTCTAATCCACGCTTTTCTTCAGTCATGATTTCGGTTTCTGCTCCATAATGAAGGTCGACATGGCTGTGGGCTATGACACACTCCGACCCAAGCGTGTCAAGGCCGGGTGTGTCACATTCAGTCTCTGACTCGGCCATGAGAACACACTCTAGCCCCACGACCTCCGTTTTTTGGCCGGACGATAACTCAAATAAGAATCGGGGGTATAAAGTTGTTGTTGTTCAAGGCAGCGCTGGTGCTGTTGTTTGTGAGCAAATCCTGCAAAAGATGAAGAACAAGAGACACTTTGAATTACTTCTTTTTCCACTCAAAAAGAAATTAGCTAGCAAATCAGTTGTACCAAACACAAATAAAATAAAATATGATGTTGCATGTTCACAATATCCTCAACCTCACATGTCTTAGGGTAGGTTTCTTGAGACATATTTGTAACCTCAATCGCACGGCAGAGGAAAAGAATAAACCACGTTTGACATCTAAATCCAACTGGCAGAAAGTAGACAATATTGGCAACACTATTAATATTTCTTCTTTGACACCAAGCTGCTGCATTGACATCTAGGCATACATAAAAAGATGTCTGTATGAAAGGATAAGCAATAACAATACTGTCACAGAAATATTTAAATATCCTAAAATTAATGATTCACAAATACATTTTATTTGATCACTGTTGAGTCTACTCTAAAAATCCTGAAAGACAATGACTCAATGACTGATGATGGCAACCGACTCCCCTGTAAGTAAGGACAGAAGACATTTAAACTTTAGCCTGAGCTGCATATATCAAACTGTATTTTGCACCTGTATATTTGCACACTTGACTGCTTTTTTATAATAATTCTGTGTTTATCTATCATACTATGCACTGGCAGAGCTAGTATTTTGTACTGTTATCTACGAGTAACAGCTACTAATGCACATGAACCATCCATACCACTTTTTTTTATCCTGGCTATGTATTGTGGGCTCATGTTTTTTGTATGGGTGGGATATGTATATATATATGTTGTGTTGTGTGTTTGAATGTATGTTGGCACACCTAAATTTCCCTGCTGGGATCAAGAAAGTAAATCTTATCTCTGTGTAAAAGATATATACGACACAAGTTTGCAACCCATGACCCTCTGGAGAAGGAGCCCTAACAAAATATCAATTAGTTGATGCCAAAACAGCAAAAGGCAAAGCTTGTTGGCACAGCAAATTATTATAAATGTGATAAAGGAGTTCATTTATACAGTAAAGATGATTTAATCTGTTCGAGGTTGATGCCTCCAGCACACTTGACGTTTTAAAACTTCTGCAGCATTTTATCACTAAAATGTTGCATTTAAAGTGAAACATGCATTAGGGTAGTATGTTACAGTGCACTGCAAGTTCTCCATTAGTGTTTTTAAAATGTATTTTCCCCACATCGCCTCTCAAACAACAACAACATGCTCGACTTTAGCGTGCTAAATTACCAATTTGCTTGCTAAGTTTAGCTTAACCCCGGTGGCTAGCAGGATTGATAATATCAAGTTGGACCCAACAACATCATGCTCAAAAGCTGCTCTATTCTAAATTTAATCCCCCACCCCACCCCAACCCCCAAAGTCACAGCCTGCAGGGCCTGCACAATGCAGCTGCGCACTTCCCTTAAAAATGTTTAACATTACGAACAAATCAAGAAAATGTTAAGACACTTCCACGACCAGTTTGTTATTAAAAACAGAACCTGACTGCTAGCCTTCAACGTCGTGGCTACAAATAGCCTCCATAGCCGCTAGTTAGCTGGCTATGGTGGCGAAGGGGGAGACCTGGTTACCGACAAAACAAGCGTCGTGTTAGCTGCTAATATGTTTCACCGATTTTTAGCCCGCTAACTAGCTCATTAGCAGCGCGCAGGTGGGGTTTAAAACTGTAACAACGTGGGTTAAATACTCACATTTAAGTGACTGTTAGGTTAACGGGCGATGCTCGACACACACACACTCTACAGACGCGGAAACCCTCTCCTTGCGCGTTGGGAGTATTAACAGGCCATCTTGTTGTGTGCCACACCAGCAACTTCCAGTTAGCCAAAAAAGATTACATGCTCGCCTAAGATGGCTGCCGCGGAGCTAACGTTAGCCACGTTAGCATCCGCCCCTTCTTTTAAAAACACACACACTTCTACTGCCGCTGCTTTTTTTTTTTTAGAGGGACGTGTGAGTTGGAGGGGGGGGCAACACACACAAAGTAGGTTATTAAATAAAGAAAGAAGCGTAAAGCAAACCGGAGAAGCCGTGTAAACTCTTGACTTTTACCCAGAGATGTAGGCCTGATGGTTCGGGGAGGTGTTAGCACGCTACAGAGCCACATCACTTAGCTGAAACAAAGATGGCTAACCGAGCGGGGCGACGGATGCTGCCGTTCAAGGTGGGGGGGGGGGGAGAAAAGCCCGGGAAATTTAGACTTCGCATTTGAATCCACACTAATCTAATGACAAATCTAGTTTTTAAAACACATAATTAAAGCTTTCCACTGCAGAATAAGAGCTGCTGCAGAGGGCAGCGCGGAGCTCCGCGTACAGACCTTGCAGTCCCCTCTCTTCTCCTCTTGCAGACTCACACACTCCCAATGGCGGCCTTGCTTGCTTGCTTCCTTGTGTTAGCAGCTATCCAGGCGAGCTTGTTGGCTACATAGCTTTCGGTGCCAAGCTAACAACCGAGCTAATCCAGATGAGCTAACACGGCTACAGCCAAAGCTTTCCCCCCCGCACCCCCCTTAGTTTCTGACTTCAGAAGATGAGTTTTTATAAAACGCTGCATCCCGACCATGCTGGACCTGGTTTTGGTCCTCCTCCCCCCCCTCTTCCTTCCCCCTCCGCATGTAGGACGATGATTACTTTACTTTATGGTTCTGCCTCAAAAAATACAGCCTGGATGTTGATCAGAAAGCACATAAATAAAACCTCCTTGTGGCAGTAACGTTATGTGTTTGTGTGGTTTCTCCCCCCCCCAGCAGAAGAACACAAAGCTGAAACCAGTACGAGTCCAGGCCTGTATTTTTCCATTACAAAGTTGGTGCCATCAGAAGTAATTGCCCCGCAAATGTAGTGCCCCGCAAAAAAAAAAAAATCGCAACCAAAAGATGTTACTACTACTTATTAACAGATTAAAGTTACATTTGAACGATGAGAAAACGCATCATAAATGTACACAACAACACACATGCGCACCCACCTTTGTGTTCTTGATTGCAGAAGAAAAGAAAAAAGAAAGAGAGAAACTGTTTGATTGCTTCAAACTCTCAGAAGGGGCTTTGCAAGCTGTTGTGAGCCTCGGTAAAAAACCGCTGTGTATGTGTGTGTGTATGAGTGAGTGTGAGTGAGTGTGTTTCTTCTTCCTCTCTCTCTCTCTCTCTCTCTCTCTCCCTCTCTCGCTCGGTCTCTGCGTGTGTAGCTGGCGCCACAGCTCATCTGGCGCCAACGTTGGACGACCGACGCACTTTAGCGAAAGCTACTGTTGTCGTTTCAATGAAGCCCTGGTGCTACTGTCGCCCCCTGCCGCCTCGGAGTGGTGCACGCAAAAAAAAAAAAAGTGTGTGTATTTGTAGTTTGGGCGAGCATAAAGCAATTGTTGGAAAGTAAATTACAGTAAAAGTTAAAACAAAAATCCCTTCTCAATTTAAGGCCCTTCCTTTTTTTTTTAAATCTAATTATCTGTCTGGGGAGTGAAGAAAGAAAGAGGAAACTAATTAGGAACGCTGGTTAGAGGGCCCCCTCTTTATTTTTGTCTGGGACCCCAACAGACCCTCGGATCACCACTGGTCATTGCAATGCAGAGTTTGATAATTTCTTAAGTTTAGTTTTTTTTTTTAATACAATACAAGCGTCATTATGTTATGTAACAAATAAGGGAAGAAGCAGTTAAGTGAATTAAATAAGTGAATGTGATGTCTTCCATATAAAATAGGAGGTCATTGCCCGAGGCGCTGCATGTCAATAGGCAAGGCAGGAAGCTGCTTGGGGCCCCAGGCCACTAGGGGGCCCCCGACGGCTGACAAACTTTAAAACACACCATTGTCTCAAATTGTGCAAATTTTGCAATGGCAGTGGGAAACCTCCCTAAGGGGGCCCCGTCTGATAGCACTCACTCTCAATGCCCTGCTAAGCATTGCATGCATTCAGTGGCGAATCTAGAGTCTGTGGGGGCCCCTCCAACCAGCATTAATCGTCATTATGTTAAAAATAATCTGACACCTACGGCTACTTTAAGTGACCAACGTAAATTTTCAAGGAATATCGGAACGTGTAGCAGTGCAACAACATTGAGTACTGTCAGATGGGGCCCCAGGGAGGTTTCCTACCGTCATTGTAAAATGTGCACATTCTGAGCCACTGCTATGGTTAAAAGTGTGTCAGTCCTCGAGGGGCCCCTACTGGCCAGGGGGCCCAAGCAGTTGCCTGCCTTGCCTGTTGACAAAGCAGCACCTCTGCATGCATTATTGCTGTGAAAACCAAAATTTGTCAATAAAGGAAAATGAAGAAGAGGAATTATCTGTCTGGGAGTGAAGAAAGAAAGAGGAAACTAATTGAGAACGCTGGTTAGAGGCCCCCACTTTACTTTTGCCTGGGACCCCAACAGACCCTAGGATCACCACTGGTCATTGCAAGAGTTTGATCATTTCTTAAGTTTAGTTTTTTTTTTTTAGTACAATGGCACCGCCTTTTATCACGGTTTTCAAATGCTTTGAGGAGAATTATCATCTAGTTTAGTCATGTGTAGTCAAGTTATAACGTGTAACAACTAGTGCTGGTTATTTTAGAGGACAAAGAGACTGTACAGGAGTAAACATTTAATGCAGTAGTAAATTAATCCCACAAGAGGATGCTGTTCTCCTCCGTGTCCAGTGTTGGTGAATGTACTGTTAGTAATGAAAGCACATGTTTTACTTGTCAAGGAAAGAAACAGACTAGATGTGATGTTGAGTCAAAGACAACAAAGTGAAGGTCTGATGGGGTTGTCAAAATTAAATCCAATTTAGTTAAGATAGATAGATCTATAGATAGGAACTTTATTAATTGGTTGGGAAGGTTCCCTCACATACAAAAAATAAAAACACTGTATGCAGTAGCATCAATAGATATTTCTACAAATGTATATACAGATTTATATAGTTAAGACATACTTCTGACTTGTCCCTACCTACCCGACTATCTACGTCAATAAGGTATTTTTGTTTGAATACTCATCTTTTCCTCTCCTTTGACTCAGCCCTCTTTGTTTCAGGCAGCATATTTGTTGTAACACCCATTCTCTGTCAATTAAACTCCCAACCAGTAATACTGGTTTTACAGTGAGAGTTGACCACATAGCTAACATTCTGTCACAGGTAGTGTCAGTCACACAGTTTCACTGGAGCTGTTCACATCACCAACTCTTTTTTCTCTGTGGATAAGTTGTTCTGCGCTCAAGACTTTTCTTTAGCTTTTTGAACCCTGTATTTGATTGAGAACTTGACACACTGCTGCTGAGCTTGGTCACCTGGGGACTCTTTTTTTTCTAACTCCAGTTAAAAATGTCTCACAATGGCACTCTGGATCTGGACAGATCCAACAATGGGGAGAGGGCTCGCCGCTCCACCAGCAGAAACCAGCCCAGAACCCAGGCCAAGAGCGGGGATGTTTTGTGTGACTTCTGCACCACCAGGAAGCAGAAGGCAGAAAAATCCTGCTACGTGTGCCTGGCATCCTACTGCGAGACACACCTGCAGTCTCACTACGAGTACCCTGCCCTGATGAAGCACAAGCTGGTCAAAGCTACAGGTCAGATGAGGGAGAAGGTCTGTGCCCAGCATGACAAACTGCTGGAGGCTTTTTGTCGCACTGATCAGACATCGGTGTGTGTTCTGTGCATGATGGACGAACACAAGCACCATGACATCGTACCAGCTGGAACCGAGAGGACTGAGAAACAAGTGAGTGGTGAAAACAATCTGTCAATCTCTCTGTCTCGCTTTCTATCGCTTCTTCTGGGCACATCTGGTTGTGGCAGAGGAAGTTTACTTACCATTGTTGCCAAGTGTTTTCTATTGGTGGGTTAATGTTGTATCTCTGTAAATAATGTCACAAACAGTGAAGTCTAGATCTGCACTTTATGTACAGGGTCATGAGACTATTTATGTTGAGATATGGGGCTTTGTAAATGAACAAAAAAATATTGATTGACTGAAGATATTTGATTTGAAAGGTTGTTTACTCTGAGGCTAATAGAAACATAGAAAATTCCACTTTTAACTTCATTTCCTCTACAGAAACAACTTGGTACAACCCTGCATAAGTCTCAACAGAGGATCGACCAGAGGATTAAGAAGTGGCAAGATCTCCGACAATCTGTTGAATCAGTCAAAGTATGTAAAACAAGTCGCTAAAAACATGAAAATGAGGTTACCTGGCTTGAAAAAAAAACTGCTCTCCATCCCTATTTTAACAAACTCTCGCTCTGTCTCTTTCTCATGTTTCCCATCAGCACTCTGCTCAGACGGTCCTAGAGGAAAACGAGCGGATCTTCACGGAGCTTCTGCTTTCCATCGAGAGAAAGTACAATGAAGTCAAGGAGATGATCCGCTCCCATGAAAGGACAACAGTGACTCGGGGGGAGTTACTGCTGGACCGTTTGGAGGAAGAGATCACTCTGCTGAGAAAGAGACACAATGACCTTGAGAAGCTCTCACACACTGATGACCACATACACTTTCTGCAGGTGTGGTTGGTCTCTTTCTAGGACCTCAGCCAAGAAAACAGTGGTACTCTGCAATGTCTCGGCTATTTTCAAAATATAATGTCTCGTCTTTTGTTCTTGTCTTTCAGAGCTGGCAGTCTCTATCAGGCCCCTCTGGATATGAAGACCTCAACAGCATCAATGTTGCCCCCAATTACTCCTTCGATGCTACCAAGAGAGCCATCGCAGCACTGAAACTACAAGTGGAAGAAGTCAGCAAGACAGAAATGAGCAAAATCTCAGGAACAGGTGGACACATTCATCTTTCTTAATCTACAGAATCTTTAATGTCTCTCCAAGGGAGGGTTGGTCTTTTGTCTGCTGTTGTTTGCGTGACGCTTATGCTGCGATTTGTGTGTGTTTGTTTATAGTGAAGGACGTCTACATCGTACAAGAAGGTGAGACAAAGACGGGGAGGGAATCGATTCTAAGGGACGAGCAGCCAAGAGAACAATCAAGAACAAGAGAGGAACCGAGAACAATAGAAATACCAAGGATAAGAGAAGAACCAAGGACAAGGGAAGATTTCCTACAGTGTGAGTACTATATTTCAATCTATTTCTTTTGCTTCTTTTTCTTTTGATGTTTTTCTTTTTAATCTCAGTACCTCATCGCCAGAAACCTGGCAATACTTCTTCAGCCTTGTCCAACTCCAGCTATAGGTGTATTCTCATTGTTCACGATATAATGGTATGTATGCAGTGGTTGTATTAAATAGAAGGAAAGTCTCCATAACAAAAGGAAAGGCCAAACTACCAGGTGAAATGACTGAAAAGAGAATTGCGCAAGTAATGCTGCCTGTAGAACAGGTTTGGTGAAATGTAAGAAAGCAAACTAACAGTGAGGTTTAACTGAGTAAACACAGGTGTTCTTGTCTTTGCTGGGTGATCACAAGACTTTCCTTCAGTGTTGAAGTTAAAATGTAACAAAACAAACTCATAGAAACTTCTTTTATACTAAGAGACAGAAAACCAAAATATATGGTGACATTAAATTTGAAATCGAGACAACTACATGAATCATAATGTCGTCGTCCTGCATTATTTTAGATGCCTGCCAGCTGCTTCTGGAAGTCAACAGTGTCCACCCCAACCTCCACCTCTCTGAGGGAAATCGAACAGTAACGATGAAGAATGAGCCAAAGAACTACCCGGACCACCCCGAACGATTCGACCACTGGCAGCAGGTGAGGATTTACTGCCTGACAGTCACGTTATGTTGTTACTGCAAAGAGAGGAGAGGTTAATCTGTTCTTCATGAATCACATGAAAATGGGGGCACACCAAATCCTTATAAAGACTTTGGATTAAAATGTGCCTTCATTGTACAATAAGGACCTTGCCATAATAAAAAATGATTGTATTTGGGTTTTTTTCACTTTATAGTTTAGTTTTTCTTCTCTCACTTGTGTACATTTTTTTTTTACATGTCTTTATGGTGGTATTCATTCCCTAATCTGACCTTCATTTTTGAACTCTGAAAATTTGTATTGTGTTCCCCAATGCAAACTCAGATGTAAAAAAAAATCAGGTTCCTTGAGGCTGTGGAAGTAGTGCACTAGCTTCATGTTTTTCTTATCTTTTTCATTTATTAGGTTTTTTATTATGTGGGGCGGCTGAGGTTTAGTGGTCGAATCCTTTGTCTCAAACATTGAAGGTCGGGGGTTCTATGTCCACAGCTACTCGAGCCACGTGCTGAAGTGTCCTTGGGCAAGAGAATGAACCCTATTGCTCGTGCTGCAATGTGAACGTGTATGAATAGGATTAGTTAATACTGATGGTCACTTTACATACAGCCTCTGCCATCAGTGTGTGAATGAGGTGTGAATGTGAATCGCATTGCATCATATTGTATCGTATCTTGCTGGATGAAGCGAGTGAGTTTTCAATAGAAGTTATGTAATCTTAATTCATGTATTAGGAATCCTTCTTTCAACCATTTTTTTTTTAATGTTTGATTTCCCCAATTTTCTTCCAGGTTTTGTGCAGGGAGGGTGTGAGTGGTTCGCGTTGTTACTGGGAGGTGGACTGGAGGGGAACAGAGATAGACGTGGCTGTCGCCTACAGGGGGATCCGTCGAAAAGGAAATGGCAATGAATGCAGCTTGGGCTGGAACGACAAGTCCTGGAGTTTGTATTGCTCTGACTCCAAGGTGTCCATTGTGCACAATAATAAGAGCAGAGATATCGCAGCTCCAGTGCCACTTCGTATCGGCGTCTACTTGGATCATGCAGCAGGAACACTTGCATTTTATAGTGTCTCTGATGGCATGCAGCTCCTGCAGAAGGTCCAGACTACGTTTACTGAACCACTCTACCCTGCATTCAGTGTGTGGGGCTTTGGTACGACTATAAGGCTGTAGAGACTAGAGATTGTTCCTCTCAGTTCCATCATATTACAAAATATTCTCAGTATGAAACTAGACTTGTTTGTTTTACATCTTTGTAAAAGTAGTTTTGCTTATTTATGATGTGTTGTCAGAGTGGTTTTCAACATCCCATTTAACTGTTTTTGTTCTCTTGCTCACTTATCTTTGTTCTGGGGCAATTTAGTCTGCAGAAAGTCAGATAAAAACTGTACAGCATTTGATTACCATGTCATTTTCTTGATGTTTCTTGTTTTTTTTAAGTTGAAGCATGCATTATATTTCTGTTGTAAATCATCTGTGAAATTAAATCCTATAGTTTCAAAAGTACAAAAGGGTATTTTTTTTTTTTGTCTTATTTGGCAACTTGAAATATGGACCAGCACAAGAAAGCTGTCTCTGGTTCTGTTCAGGCACATCATGTGGACAGTGGATCAACCTTCCTAGAAATGGAGTCACTTAACATTCACATCAGTCTTTACATCATCTTGTTCACTAAATTCAGAAAATAGTTAATCCAGTGCCATTTCTTAATAAGCAAATCAAATAATTATCAACATTCCCAACAGGCCTATCTAGAGTTTTTTTTTTTGTTGTTGCATATAGAAATAGGTCAAAGGGAGATGAACTCACATTAAATGTAGGCCTACGTCTACAGATTGAGACCATTTTGATTTGATTAGACCAGGCTGCACACTGACCCCATCTCCCTGACATTAAAGAGAAGTGCATCTGTGGAGAGACGTGAACAAGTTGATGCTCCAGGGGGCAGCAAAAACACATGTTGCTGGACGGACTGGCTTTAATTATGGGATGGAAAACACACACAGATTTTTCTTAATAGACAGTGCCACATCTCCAAACACATGTGTCGAACTTGTTTATTGACAGTGAGAGAAGAAAAGACAGACACAAAGATCAAGTGCAAGGAAAACCACTCACATTAAAGAAGCACTTTTTTATTTTTTTATTTTTTTAGACAAAATACAGATTTTCACAAAAGGCTAAATAAACCAGTTACCGCGCTTCCTTCATCTAGTTATGCGTTGCTAGGAAACCGCTGGATTCCGAGTTTACTTCCTGTTGCGGTCTCACAGGACTATATCTCTTTCAGATGGTGTTGTATAAAAACTGTGAAAATAACTTCCAAACATTTATGAAGATCATTTTCATGTTATCAGTTTTATAAAAAGGATAAAAAAAAATAAAAAAAACCATATATGAAACTGATTTTTAACTTCGTTATTTCTCAATACCGCCGTCCCGCCCCTTCGGCGCACAACCAAACCTGAATGCAACGTACCCTGCTACTACAGGTTTGTGTGTGTGTGTGTGTGTGTGTGTGTGTGTGTGTGTGTGTGTGTGTGTGTGTGTGTGTGGGGGGGGGGGGGGGGAGTCAAACAGCTGGATACTGTGGAGTGTCTCGTGGCGGCGATGCAAGGAGACCGACTGCATGTGAGAGCGATTCTTCCCCCCACTTCATTTCAAAGGGAAGACGGCTAACGGGAAGAAAAAAAACAACAAGGTGACTACACTTTGTCTCACGAGGCCAGGTTGGAATAGTTTTTGGTCACGAGAGGTGCTGGGAACAGGTCGGCGCACTCAAAGTTACTTGAAACTTTAGTCTAACGTGAAGGCTTTTAGGTAAGTTGTCTCTGATGTTCGTCGTCGTTGCATGTTGCATGAGGAGGGATGAGCCTAACCAAACATGAATAAATCTGTGCTGCGAATATAATATCACGACATTTCCCCCTTAAAAACATTTTTAATTGACCACAAAGTCCAGCAGCCCATAAACCATATGGAGAAGTAGGGAATAGAATATTAAAATATCATATAAACAATACTGTGGATTAACTGGAACTGCATTACAGGTGTTTTTGTATGAGATGTTACCTCTTTCATATCCTCTTACTTTAAATCAATATTTTACAGTTTAAAAACCCATTATTATTAACCCTGAACTTACATGATATATATATATATATATATGATATATTTTGCAACATGTGAATTGTTTACAGTTGACACAAATGCTTGACTTGTTTTTTTTTGGCTATTGATTTATTTTATATAAATGCATTTGCTATTCACTTGCTTTGCTGTATAGCTGCATGTCTTTTTCCTGATGGAACTGTATATACTATTAAGATAACCTAAAACCAGTATGTCTTTTTTCATAATGGAACTGAGTATAATATTAAGATAACCTAAAACCAGTATGTCTTTTTCCTAATGGAACTGTATATATTAAAACAACCTAAAACCAGTATGTCTTTTTTCATAATGGAACTGTGTATAATATTAAGATAACCTAAAACCAGTATGTCTTTTTCTAATGGAACTGTATATATTAAAACAACCTAAAACCAGTATGTCTTTTTTCATAATGGAACTGTGTATAATAGTGAAACAACCTAAAACCAGTATGTCTTTTTTCTAATGGAACTGTATATATTAAAACAACCTAAAACCAGTATGTCTTTTTTCATAATGGAACTGTATATATTAAAACAACCTAAAACCAGTATGTCTTTTTCTAATGGAACTGTATATATTAAAACAACCTAAAACCAGTATGTCTTTTTCCTAATGGAACTGTATATATTAAAACAACCTAAAACCAGTATGTCTTTTTTCATAATGGAACTGTATATATTAAAACAACCTAAAACCAGTATGTCTTTTTTCATAATGGAGCTGAGTATAATATTAAGATAACCTAAAACCAGACTCAATCTACCCCTGAATATGCACAAAAGCTTGTTAAAAAAACCTTATCCTCGGCAAGTTATGAGCATGATTGTCATGATGATGATGATGATTATGATGATAACTCACATCCATTCTACTCTCATTCACCAGCTCCAAGGGACACATCTGTCCTGCCAGTGTCCCATCTACCATCCTCCCTCCTCAATATGCACAAAAGCTTGTTAAAAAAACCTTATCCTCGGCAAGTTATGAGCATGATTGTCATGATGATGATGATGATTATGATGATAACTCACATCCATTCTACTCTCATTCACCAGCTCCAAGGGACACATCTGTCCTGCCAGTGTCCCATCTACCATCCTCCCTCCTCAACACCATGAATCAGTCGGTGGCAGTGCAGATGTCCGTCACTCTCAGTTAAATGTTAGTGCTACTTGAGCAGATATCGCTCGGCTGGCCGAAGAGGAAAAAAAAGAAAGGGGCTGTTAAAGGTGCTGGAAGATGTCTCTGTGGATGATACTGCCTGTCAGCCTGCCAGTGCTGACCATCACTGGAATATGGGTTGTGTAAGTGTTATATATTCCTTGTGCCTTTTATCTGAAAAAAGCTCACATAACTGAGACCGATGAGTTGGAAAACTAACTGCTGAAGTGACAGTGAGTAGGTAAGCAAGGTTGATCTGATGTCAGAATGATCTAATTGTAGAGTTTCTTCCTGACAATACAGTAACCTTGTGTGAAGGAAACATTAGTTGCCATTGTCATTTTTTATTTCTGCTTTCATAGCTACAAAAACATACTTATGCTGTAGTTCACATGATTTATTTAAATCCCACCAGCTACAAAGAAACAAGAGTTTCCCTGAAAGACTTCTAACATACTGTCAGATCTTTTTAAAATCACAAAATGAAATATCCCGATAGTAGAATAAGTAGGGTTAATATAAAAATAGAAGCCATCTACATCCACATGTGTATCTGCGTGCCATTATATTTTATTATTACAGTGTTATTAAGTTAATTTAGCCCACTAAGGCATTCATGCAAACCATTTTAATGCCCAATAGAATCTTACTGTAGCAACCTGCCGCACACCTGTTCTGCCTGCAGATACATTGACCAATGAAAACATATCATGAAAAGCCTCTCATCTACATTTACTTTCTTTTTTTATATTCTTTCTTATGGAATATCAGTGCTTGCATAACAATCATACAATAAAAAGATCATAATGAATGTTATATTTTAGAAATGATCCTTCATGTAGACGAACCGCAGTCCACATTCTAATGAATTGCAATGCTCTTGTTTAAGTTTAAGCAAATACCACCTCCCTTCTGGGAAGGCAGAGCAGCATATTTGCCCTGAAATTCCTGGCCGCCATGGTGATCTCATGTGGCTTAAATCTCTCTAAAACAGACCTGCGATTATCACCCCTCTCTTAAAAGTGTGATGTGCAGGTTCTCAGTGTGCCATCATTATATAACAGTTCAGTATCTGAGGCGATGTGTAGAGAGGTGAGACTGAGCACCTCCTGGTTATGTTTGAGCTTCTCTGTTATTACTCTGAAAGGAGGAATTCAGACCCCAAGGGGGAGAGAGAGGCAGGTGGCCCGATTCCAAATTGCTGTATTTCTTCTGTGTTCATGCAGCGTGCAACACGTATGATGAGTAAGGTGAGAAGTTCTTTGCCAAAGCTGACACCATGCAAACCAATACCTGTTTGTGTACGTGGCTGCTTCACAGTGTTGAGTGTATGCTTTAGGGCTCTGCAGAGAAGAAAAGTCTGAGCTAAAGATGTTGCTTTAGACCTTCAGTATACTGAGCTGGAGAGCAGGCAGGTGAAAATAAGTGCTGGCACTGGACATCTCTGTCTTGTTTATCTGTGAGGTAGAAAGTTGATCTGACTGAAGTTGCCGATTGCTGCTGACTGTCAGTCCCTTAAAACACATTTCCTTCCCGTTACCTTGACAAGGGCGCCTTGTTTCTAAGAGCAGTCAAGGGTCTTTTTTCCAGACTTATGGAATGTCAAAGGATGTGACAAGTTGCGTAAGTCCCTCCCTCACTCTGGGGGGAATTGGGGGGGGGGGGTAAGGTAAATACTAGAAGGGAGAAAATAGAGAGCGTAAGCAGAACTTTCACTCAGCATCTGGTGGCCATGCCCAGAGTACAGAAGGTCTGTGGAGCCAAAAAGGCTCAGGCTTGTGCCAACCAAAGAGTCTTAGTGTAGAGGCTTTGCAGACCTTTTGTAAGACAGGCCATGAGATTGATAAAGTTTGGCTCCACTGAACCATTAAAGACACTTCTAGTTTTATAGCTTTACGCAGTTCATGCCCCCCTTTCATGTGGCCTCTATTTTTTATTTTTACACATCTTTTAGCATTTTTTTTTTTACCAGATCTCTTTCCATGACAGTCCTTCTGAATGTTTCACCTAAATATTGCTCTCAAACATGCAATTACGGGTTACATCCACTGCTGAGCTTTGATAGACGTCTAATTATGTAAACAAAGCTATTATTACTTAGCGTTCTGCGGGAACAGAATGCACTGGTATACTTTCACAAGACAAAAGGTCCCAGAGAGAAAAGGCCCCACTGTTGCTATTTTTGCTTTGGAAGATGACCAGATATTTTTATATAAAGTTGTAGAAGAGCAAACAACTTTTTTTTTGGCTCTACTTTCCTTGCATCATTTTTTCCTCTAATGAAGTCCCTTGGTTATTCTCTACAACATTTAAAGCGTACTTTTTGGTCAACTTTAACGTCATCGTGTAGTTAAAAAGCTCCGACTTGGAGCGCTGGCAGCCCTCTCTACCTGACGGCTATATTCCACTCACACATGAAGGTTTCCTTGCTGCATTATGCACGAGGGCTGCTCTTAACAGACAACATGCATGCCATCTGGCTCAATATGACTTTCACATGCCGATTTGCATAACCTAATGCCAACCAAATGTTGGCCATCCTCCAAGGCTGTCTCTGTCAGACCTGTATTGACCAATCATGTGTGGCGTTAGAAAACTAAGAAACAAGCTTAAAAATGTTGAGTTAACGCCTTTCTCATACTTTAGGGTGACGTCAATGAAGATGATCCACAGATAAGATGATTTATGATTCATATTGTATAACATCATTCATCATCTGTCAGTGTTTTTCTAAATTAATCTCATCTTAATCTTAATCAGTTGCTTGACAACGGTCAAGTTTCAGTTGAGTTTGTGGAGTTAAAATATCATCTTTTGTTGATATTTACTACTATGTTCTGCTACGACTGAATCACTGCACTGCTGATATTCATCACTCCCTCTTGCCTGATATTGCTCAAATAAATTGTGAATATCTATGAATTTAAAAAGGTAAAAGTTATTCAAAGTGAAGTAAAATAAAACTGGTCAGTTTGCCTTTTCATATCGCCAGTTTAAGGAATGATATTTTAGCCACTTTACCGTCTCGCCTTTAATGTGTCCCACCTCTGTGCTGGCATCGGCGGCAGTAACAGACGTTACAGGGGCCAGATTGAGATTACTGTAAGAAGACAGCGCCAGCAGGAGAGGACAGGGCTGTGTGTGTGTGTGTGTGTGTGCATGTCTGGGTGTGTTATGTAGAGTCCTGGCTGTGAGAAATCATACACTGGGACACTAATATTACGTCATTGTGGAATCAGTGGGAAGGTACAAAGATTTCAAACGTGTGACAGCAGAGCGTCGTTACGGTGCAGTTGCAGAATCACACTCTGGCATGTGAAAAGTCTTTATCATTTCATCAATTCTTAAATAAATCGCAAAGTTAAAGACAATGGACAGTGAACATCATCAGAGACCTTTTTCCTTTTCTTTTTGTTAAAACAACATAAACAACAAGCAGCCAGGTGTAACATGATGACAGGACTGTTAAGTTTGAATTCTTTACTAACGGTAATGTTAGCAAGCTACAAAAGTTGGATAGCTCATGGTCATATTAGCTAGTAGTCAAGTTAACTAGCAATTGGTTCAACTTTGAAGCTTTCATGATTTGCTTTACCTCTTTATAGTTATTGCTATAAAATGAGCTGTTTACCTTAAGTAGTGCAGATGTTTACTGTCTATTGTCTTTTTAATTCAGGTTGAAAGGTAAACATTTTATTTAGATTCTTTATGTTTACTCTGAATACCCCAATGATAAGGAAAATGTCCGCTGTGTGAATACAGTGTAGTAACAAGTGCCTTGTTTTAATGTACAAGAAGAAGCACCCCATTTTGGGATTTGGGACAAATCTTGTCTTGTTAACAAGCGATACAGTCATGTACGTGTGCACTGACGTGCCTCCTTGCCGACTTGTGGGTAGCAGGTGTGTAAATGTGTGTGTGTGTGTGTGTGTGTGTGTGTTTGTGATATTTGTCTATCCAAAGACTGGTTTGTGAGGAGGACACCGTCTCCCATGGAAACAAATGTAATTGGTGCTTAACCTCCTACTGAACTACGACTGGATTCACAAATCAGGACAAATAGTCTCTGTGTGTCTGACGCGGTGGTTTTGACTCTGCTGTTGTTTTATCATTTCTGATATTTCAACATTAAAGTGTGTGTGTGTGTGTGTGTGTGTGTGTGTGTGTGTGTGTGTGTGTGTGTGTGTGTGTGTGTGTGTGTGTGTGTGTGTGTGTGTGTGTGTGTGTGTGTGTGTGTGTGTGTGTGTGTGTGTGTGTGTGTGTGTGTGTGTGTGTGATAACATGCAGAAAACATGACAATAACGTTTCTGTTGTGTCCACCCAAAATTATAACAATGACTGAGCATTTTAACAATCTGCAAACCAAGCTGTCTTAAGAAAACGATGTACTATGTAAACTACGTACTATTACATAGTCTACTGCATCTTTGTGTCATTAACATTAGCTTTTCAATACGACTTAAACAAGTATTGACAGAGCAGAAAGGTAGAAATGTACATTTCACTGCTGGGGTTAAATAATCAAACTCCTGACAGTTAAAGCCTGAAGCAGCAAAGTGATGCATTCACTATTTCATCAGCCGCAAAGCTCACTCAAAGGTTGAGATTAATCTTACATTATGGTGGAAACTCATTAATCTCTAAACATTAGTCATTGTATTTTGTTTTTTAGCCTTTGTTTGAGCAGGAAATACCCGCTGAGAACGAGCGCTCTGTCCGGGGTTGTCCTGCAGGGATACAAGTAAAAACAGTCAAATAGAAACATAGAAATACAGTACAAAGAAACACACAGACGTTCAATCATCAAAAGGGAGGTGCTCTCCTTTAACAGTTAAGCCACTAATAGTCTGTCAGGCTGAAATTATTCCCTGAGATAAAAAATGATTTTTCCAAGACTGATTCTGATATCCAAATGTGTGAGTTTAAAAGATATGATAACAGTTAACTGAGCTTTGGTAACACAAACATGTAGCTGAACCGTATTCACACTTAAAATCTAAGTAACAACCGCACCACTTTTTTTTTATATCTGACGAGTGGACAAACTTTGTAATGGTAGTTCTGGTTCTATCTCTTGGTCCTCCGGTCTTTGACTTCTCCGAGGATGCATCAGGTCAGCGACACGACCGAACAAACATTACTGCTGGATGTCAGTATTCCTCGTACTGTTCAGACTCACACAAACCAGTCTTTTCTCTGTGTGGCCCTCTGAGTTCCAGAACATGTCGAGTATCAGGTCGCCTAGTCCTACAGGTTGAACAAACAGGTACAGCTCGGTGTTAGGTCACACTGGCAGGACGGTACTATCACATGATATTTGGTGGTACAATTACACAATGACACCGTATATGAAGGTATAAAATGTACTACACGTATGAAACATAAGAGACAGCTTTAGGTTTATGCTCAAAATATTTATTTGTTAAACTCTCTTCACATAATACCAAAGTCATGCCCTTCCATGTTCTGTAAGTCACTCATATGAAAACATTTAGGGGTCAATGCCACATGAAAATATGAAGCGGGCTCCAGTTTTTCTGCTGATTTTTTTATATACTTTTAACTTTTTGCCTTCATTGGATAGCACAGCTGAAGAGAGACAGAACATGTTGGGAGGAGAGAGGAAGGGGAGAGTGGGGAATACAAAAAAAAGGTCGGATTTGAACCCATGGCTGCTGTGACAAGGACTATAGCCTCTGTACATGGGGCGCGCAACATAACTACTAAGCTACCGGCGCCCCTATCTATTCTTTAGTTTTTTGTGATTGGAAAAAATATTTCACCTAAATTCACTTTGTATGACACTGTAATCATAAGATATCATAATATACCATCTCTCTCTCTCTCTCTCTCTCTCTCTCTCTCTCGTAGGTACGCCATGGCCCTGTACAACCAGCATGTCTGCCCTGTGGATAACTGGTACGCTGTCCTTTAGTTTTGCTTCTTCACACCTCTTTATCACACTGCACACATTTCACAAACTCATCACTTGCAGTCTGCTAGTTTGTCACCGTCGATGTCTTTTCCAATATCTTTATTGTCAGCTCTCTCGGGACATTTTGTAACAGGATTACTTTCAAGTCAATCTGAGTAAAATCTCACATACTGCGCTGAATCTACATCTACATTTGCATCAGCATGCGACCGACTGTTCACGTGCATGCTAGGTTTGTCTGAACAGGCTGATGTTAATCTCCACCAGCAGAGCTACTCTTTGATGATAGAGTTTTTTGTTCGATGAAGGGCTGCATTGTTGTGACCTCACAGCATGGCCGAAAACAAAATATTATATTATTCCAAAATATTCCAAAATATATCTCTGCTCTCTGTTTGTTTTTTTTTGTTTTTTTCAAGTAGGTTTGAAGTTGTGCTGAGATTTCAACATTTTAAAACTTCTCCATGTGTCTGTCTTTTGTGTGTGTGTGTGTGTGTGTGTGTGTGTGTGTGTGTGTGTGTGTATGTTTGATGTCCCAGGTTGTACAACCAGTCATGTGAAGAGGACCTGTATTTGCAGAGTGGGCCAACCTTGTGCTGCACATTAGACAATGTACCTCTCATCAGGTCTGTGAGACTCCCACCCTCACTTCACCTCTCCGTCTGTCTCGATTCTGTCTCTTTGTTGCGAGTTTCTGTCTGTTTTTTATAAACAGGAACACTGTCCCATTGTTTTAACATGACCCCTTGTCGGCACATTGTTGATAAAAAAAAAAGCGAGTGAGCTTAAAGGAGCCGGCCGTCCTTAGTGTGGGTGTGTACATTCTGAAAATAACTCGGGGCTGAAATATCCTGCTGCCTGCCACCGTGGCAGTTCAGAGGCAGAGCATGGGTCCGCACTTCACCATGTAAACACACACACACACACACACACACACACGGAGGAGTCGGCTTACATTTGGGAGGAAATCAAGGCACTCCCACTCTTATGTTTAGCTTTTATTCCTCTGGGCTCGAAACATCAAAGGCCAGAGCGTAAATACCGTACAGTGGTATGCATAAAACAATCGGGGACAGACGAGAAAACTGTTAAAAACACAAATAAATCACAACTCAACCACATTTAATGACCACGAGAAAATATTTAAAATCATAAACTACATTTTTCAATGCTGCTGCTTTGAGTTTGTTTATCATTTAAAGATGACATGTAGTGTCCTTATGTTAAATTATATGCTTAGCAAACCTAACTAAATGTCCTTATCCTTCCATCCACCACCTATATATATATATATATATGTGTATATGTATATATGTGTATATGTTAAGGATTCTTTGAAAACTTATCAGTGCAAGTATGAGTCCATTAGAATTTTATGCTTTACGAGGAATGTGAGTGTGTGACTGAAGTCAGCTGAGAAGGCTTTGGCTCTGTTGGCAGCAGCAGCTCGGGCACAGACGGACCGTGTTGACTTGTCTGCTGCCTTCCCCTCCTACAAACATTTCCCATTCCTACAAGAGAGGCAGTATGCACTAGGTGAAAAGTCAAAAGCTTGTAGATGAGTGCTTAGGAAGCGTGATTCTACCCCCTCCCTTCCCTTTTTATTGCATGAGCAGGAATGCATCATGTAAACATGCTATATGTTGCTCTGAATGCACCACGACAGAGGGGCATGAGTGGTACCGTTTCTGTGTAGCGTAGGTTGATTTAAAGCACTTATCTGATTTATTACTTTGTACTCTCTCTTGCAGTAAATGTGGGACTCTTCCCCCTGAGAGCTGCTTCTTCAGCCTTATCTGCAGCACGGGATCGTTCATGGGTAAGAGATCATGTGCACACGACACAGGAACATCACACACATGTAAACACACACACTGTCACAATCATTGATATCAACTTCGATTTCTGCCCTAAGTCACCTTGTCCCTGATGAGAAGCTGCTTTATTCATGATCCAACTTGCTCCTCCTTTAATCTGATTGATTTCTCGAGGTCAAGGTGACATCTTCATGTGTCTTGTTTATTTATTCTTAAGATGTATTTTTGGGGCTTTTTATGCATTTATAAGTGAGACAAGACAATCGATAGAGTTGGAAATCAGGGAGAGCGAGAGTGGGGGATGACATGCAGCAAATGAGCCACAGGTCTGATTCGAACCCGGGCTGCCCGCTTGAGGACTGAAGCCTCTGTACATGGCGGTGCGCAAACTAACAACTAACAACCAACAACCCTAGTGTGACTATTTCTATTCAGCTATTTTTCTAACGCCCATCACTACTATCACTGGATCACATTGCGATGGAGTGATTTACAGCACATCGGCTGAAATAACCTTTGTTTACGCCTACCAGCCAAAGCTTCAGAGTGAGGAGTGTGGTTGCTATTTAGAAAGAAGCAAGTAGATATGTTCTACTTGCAACACATGTTTTTAAGGAAAGGATAAATAACTGATGAAAACCAAGAATGACAAAAAAAAGGAAGTTCCTTTTAGCCGCATAAAACTAGTGCTGCATAATAATTTCTTCATTGTTGGGATATGAGGATTCACAGTCAGCATATTGTAAAAGTCCACTTCCTTGTTTGAGCACGGCTGCGTTTCTCATCTCCCGTGGACTGTTCTGCAGTACACATGAATCGTTGAGAGACCCGAGACCACCTCTTAAAGCGGACTCGGGCACAGTACCGGAGTACAATACTGGAGTACAGTATCGGAGTACAGTAAGAGTAGGGTTTGTGTTCACACTGATCAAATGAAACAGACTTTGGGGTCAAGCGTACTTCGATCTGGGCCCGGGTCCCTAGTGTGAAACCACCCTTAGAGATTAGTCGTAGATCATATAGTAGAAACGAATTGCTGTTGTTTTAATCAACTTTGCTTCGGGAGAAAACGAGACCTCAGAGTGACTTTAGTTTAGTTGCCCTGCAAAAATGCAAAACTTACAACCACACTGACCAAGAGCCAGAGAAATCCCTGCATGTGGTCGGTTTGAATGAAAGAAAGAAGAAATTACAACAAATGTAGCCTCTGGATGGCTTCATGTAAAATTATCACACGCTCATACACAGGGTTTATTTTAGTTGGAGCAAGGAAAACAGGCATGATTTTTTTATTTTTTTAAAGGGAAAAGGAATGGGCTCCCATGTGCTGGCTTGTATGTTTTTTGTGAGTCTACACGTGCTGTGCCCTGTGCTTACTGGTGGGTCTGATTTAGTTAATGTTTTCCAGCTGTGGCTGAGACATGTTCTTTATGTGTGTGTGTGTGTGTGTGCACAATTGTATAAAGCGGGGAAGATGTCGCTCCCTCTCTTGTTTGTCTTTTCAGAAGGAGTCTCCATGACTCTAGCGGCTATTTTAAGTCCTGCCTGTCTGTCTGTGTGATTGGGCGACTGTGATTTTTAACCCAATCTGAGAGGAAGGCAGAGACATGATGAGACTATGATCGTTGGAGGGTCAAAAAGGACATGCAATACTGTATGCTGTGTGTTGCTCTAGCCTTTTCATACATGCTCAAATCTCTTACAGTTACCATCAATTTGCATGGTGAGCTGCATGTGTGGAAAGGAACACAAACAGCAGAATTTCAACCCTGACTTTATCCAGACATTTTTCCAGCCAGCCCCCTAGCAAAATTTCCTCATGAAGTTGGGTGAGCTGATGTGTGAACACAGCAGGAACTATCCAGGAAAATTCTCCATGAGTCAGTGGGAAAGGGTGATGATGTTTATATCCTGCAAAAGCTGCGTGACTAGCTTGAGCTTCATGGACGTTAAGAAGCTGCTGCGTATTTTTTTTTGCTACTCACCAGATTGTTCTTCTCTACTATTTTGTTGATACTATAAATATGTCTGATTACTTGTAGCTTTGATATAAAGGGGAAAATGTGATCATAGCATCAGACTCTGTTGCTTCATCTGCCATCTTGAATATATTGTAAACACTGCAACACTTTATTTAGTACACTTAGCATCTAGTGTTTGAAACATACGGGTAGGGTTGCAGCTCATTGTGAAAGTCCAGCATTTGACCCTCACTGTGTCGCTAGCCGTGACCCCTGAACCACAGCAGGTCAGCCTGTCAACCTTGTGTACATATGTGTATTTGGATAAGAGAAAGCGAATGAGGATAAACACCCTCCTGTGATTGTTCCACTAACGGCAAAAGGAGGCAGACAAATAAAAAGTGAAGTGGAGAATAAACAGATAGCAGATTTTCCGTCTCCCATGTCGACTCCATTGCTCAGTCTTGATGACATGTTGCGCCTGTCTCAAGATGAATTGAATGTTATTCTGTTGAATCTTTCCAGAACACTGTTTTTATGTACAGAACTATCCTTACACAGTGTTGACAGTTAGACAGTCTGATATGCAATGATCATTGTAGGGTCAAAAGTAACATGTAATACTGTATACTCTGTGTTGCTCTAGTCTTTTCATATATGCACAAAGCTCTTACAGTTTCTGGCAATTTTCATGGTGAGCTCCATGTGTGAAAAGGAACATTAACGGCTGAATAACCATAATATCACAATACAGTAAATCTGTAATAACTGATATCTGGCATAAAAAATAATATTTTGAAACATCATGACATCTGATTAACTAAAGAATAAAGGTAAAGTGTAGGATGAATCATCTATTCTCTGCAGTTCGATGTCAGTTTTATCACGCTTCATCTCTGAACTTCTTCTCACCGCTGTCCAATATTATCATGCTGTCTTCTTCTTCTTCTTCTTCTTCTTCTTGTGTCCGAGTGTAAACGTCTTCTTTTTCCAATTACCGCCCTTTCACTTGACCCTCATTCACGTGATTAAGTTCCATCGAGAGGAATCATGAAGTGGTGACGTGGTGAGGCAGGACTATCTGTTTGGAGCACCACATTTCTCTAGATTAAAATATCAATATTTGGCACCATTGGTTCGATAATATCACACGAGTCAGGACGATGACATATTGCCCTGTAGATATTTTGTCCCATTCCATGTTTGCATAACAGTATGTGTTCTTCCATTAAAAAAACTAGATATGTGACATCACAGCTGCCTGCATCCTGTTTGAGCCTCATATGATTATTTAACCAGCCTGCATAGTAGATTATTAAATAAGTGATATTGGAATTGTCATTGCAGTAGGAAAATAAAACCTCTACACTATTTTAAGGCGGTAGTGAAGCTACTTTAACATCTGGTTCAATCAATCGGTGAGCACCTCTGCAGGTGAAATTCAGTGCGTCAATCATTGGGTTGTGTTGCGTTGCATTCACAGCCACCTAGTTTTCTTTTTTCCACCATCCAATTAGTCTCGGTGCAGGGTTTGTTAATACCGGTTGTAAAGCAAGTTAATATGGCTTTACAAAACTAGGCTAAGCTAATGAGGCATGTAGTTGTACAACAAGCTATTGTAAATAATCAGTGCTTAGCTTCTTAGCCTATTGATTTCTACCTCACTTTGTAGATTGAGCTTGCTGCAGTTGGCTCAGGGGTTCACTCCTTTCCTGGACTGCATGAACTGGATATTGCCTAATAATTATTGTTCTTGCTTTTTATCCAAGTTCCCACCTCTCTGCCAGTGTACACACACTACGTATCAAAGACAATGCGTGTATTCTTTCCCAGCATACCTGCTGTGGGAGAGAACGCCGCCCCGGTGTTTGGGTTGAAATGTATCTCCTTGTGGGGACAGCAGGGTTTATTTAACTGCGAGGTGTGGTGTGGCCGAGGTGACGTCTGTGGGAAGTGGACTTGTGTGTGTGTGTGTGTGTGTGTGTGTGTTAAACCATGTCTACGCAAAAGCAAGTCTGTGCTTGTGACAGCAGGGTAACATTACTGTGTGTCCACGTTGTTGCAAAGTAGCACTGGTGTGTGTGCGTCAGTGTTTGAGTCAAGACGCTGCTTTCTCCTCTGGGCTTCCTGTGTTCATGAAAAGGAGTTAGATAAGGAGAGGGCGTCCATGTGGAAGGTGTCAGACTGTGTGAGGGATACTAGCCGGCATGGTGTGTTTATGCAAATTTCAAACCTTTATTTGTCACATGCTCATATCGTGGGCAGTGAAATGCAACAACTGTTCTGCAAGGCCATGCATTAGAAGCAGTACTCTAAACGACATGTGAATATAAATAGATAAATACAAATAAAAAAGCATACAGGGGGAAAAGTTAAAACAGCATACTTATTCCTCCTGTTGTGCTTTAATCAGAAAACGGTTTATCTTGACTGTCAGAGGCCAGGTGGAGGGCATCCATGCTGCTTACTCATCAGACATGTAATGTCCTCATGCTGCACGAGCCCGTGACCTCTCAACGACAACGTGACACGCATCCTTAAAGAAACAAACCAGAGGACAGGAAAAACAGATGAGCATATAAGAGCACGCTAAATAGTCAAGAAGGTAAAAAGAGAGTAATGGAAGAAATGTTCTTCATTCTTGAACCTTTGGGCTCGGGCTTACATCATCCCGAGGAAGCTAAATGCCAACAAGCTCAAACAGGCTCATTTGTAATGATGAAAAAGTCATTTTGTCGAAAGAGGAAAGAAACCCACAGCCAACCGGTCTGCAGCCAAGAGGCCGAGATGCCATAATCTAATGAAACAAACTGCAGCTGACTTTCTTGTCCTTTCAGCGCTAGAATATGTTTTCCATTTAAAAGAAGAAAAAAAAAAAAAAGCAGTTGGAAAAAACCAAGACAAGAGTGTTTCCGAGCCTGGAGACACTGCTGTTTGTTTTTCCATGATTGTAACTTGAAAACACTTTGCCAAGATGGTTTAAGTGCTGCGGGAACTGAGGGCAGCTCGCAAAAACACTCTCACAGGACTGGGCAGGAGGATCCAAACACACATAACGTCAAATCAACAGTTATATACATTCTCAAACATTATGCAGGATGTATACATCAGGACACCATCCTGTACCTGTTTCATCTATTGACCTGTTAGTTTCTGTGAAACAGTGGATCATTTTGGTCCCATTCATGTTTAGTTGTGTAATAAAACACTCGGATGTTAAAGCATTCTGTGAGGATCTTTGGTTTGTGTTGATTTTAGGGACCCCTGTTGACAAAGCAATACGTCTTCAATCGATCAGTCTTTATCAGTGTAGCACCAATTCATAAAACCGAACAGGTAAAATACCTTTCTCTGTGTTATATTATCTACAAAGACCCAACGTTGATCCATCACGAGCACAGCTCCAAGCAACATTTAGCAAAGCAGCAGTAGCAAGAAAAAACCCGGCTCATGATGAACAGCCGTCTGCACAAACTGTGTAGAGCTTGGAAAGTGGGAGAGGGAGATGCAGGAAGATGAAGGATAGAGACAAGCAGAGCAACAACAACAACAGCAACAAAGAATAAGACAGATTTATAGCTGTCAGTAATAATTGGAAGAGGATGTGTGGTATTAGTAAAATTTCAATGTGAACATTAGAACTGTGATGATGATGAAAGAGGGAGGAGTGATTCTGTTAATTAATTTAAGAGCTTGAAGTTGAGCAGCTCTTAGATTCACTTTAGTATTTATAATAATGATAACGGATGTAAGGCTGATATTATAGAGTCGTGTCTCTTTGCTGATCTTTTCCTGTATTTGTGTGAGGTACTATTCTGATGAAAAACGTCACCTTGCTTCCTTCAGTGGTCACTGACTTCACATCAGTTCTTGGAAGGTGTAAACAAAAGCACTTCTGGTTTTCACGCTGTTACCCACTTCCTGTGACCCTGAACTGTTGGATGCAGTGACAGAGAATACAAATAATTATATAGAAAACATTACTATCAATGCTATATTATTGGGTTAAAACATTTAACATTAAAATAAGATCAGACTAAAGTACGTTTCACTTTGCAGCCTGTGCTGACTTTGCAGTTGTGTTGTGAGTTTTTTTTTTTATTTCCTTTAAATTGATGTCTCTGTTCAGAATTGACCCAAATGTCCATCAAAATAACCTTCCACTACATAATAGCGTAATTTGATCTGTGGCTGCTGCTTTTATTTTCCTGGTTGTCAACATTGTGAATGAAAGATTTTTACAAATACAAGAACTTTCCGGGCATGAATCATCATCATTGGAGATTCAAGCTGAGCTGAGGTTGTGGTCAGGTTATGAAAGGTGACCCGTCACTGAGACGTTGGCCTAGACTAAACCCTGACTAGTGGAGAGACAAAGCTTTACGTTACAAAATCCTGCACTGGAGGTTTTTTTTTTTCCTCTCTGTGACCACAGTTTCCATTAAAATTCTTTTTTTTGGCAGCCTGGACCTCCTTAAAGCCTGCTTCGTACAAACGGGATAGTGTCAGAGTAAAGACAACAGTTCAGTCTTTGAGACAAATGTATGGGCTTCAGGTCAAGACACGAGGGGCTCCTTCTCCCCTCTTATTCTTCCAGCCTCCTCTTTCTTTCCTCTCACCCCACTTTCTCCAAACCCAGTCAGCCTTCACTGAGCCATAGCCGTGAGGAGGGAACAAAGAGAAACCAGGCAGGGGTCAGCCACCAACAATACCCCCAGTCACAGCCCATAAGCACATCAGGAGTCATCTGTCCCGCATACTGTACTGAGTTTCCCTCCTCCTTCAGTCTTGTGTAAGACTGAGACCAGCCCCCCAGCCATGTGTCGGCCCCACTTTTCCCGCCATTTCCTGCTTCTCATATTCCCCCTTTTAGTTGGTGTAACTCTAAATCTGCTTTCTGGGAATCCTTGTGTTTTTTGGCTACATGACGTCTGTGAGTGTTTGCATTAATTGAATCCAGACGCTGTGGAATAAAAAATACCCCAAACTAACTGTGTGTGTGCTTCCTCTCCAGGATAAAGCGTAACCTTTCTCCCTTTCTTACAGCCCTCCATGGCTCTGGTGAAATGTTTTCATGTGCAGATCCACATATAACTGACTCATCTTTGTTTGTTTCTTTTTCTGTAGTTATGGCGATAGTGCTGCTCCGCTATGCCCACGTCATCGAGAAGCACCAAAACTGTGTCCTCAACACGGCCAGTCTCTCCACAGGCTGGATCTGTGCCGCTGGTCTCATCATGGTGGGCAACTTCCAGGTATGCTGACCTGATTTACTCCCCTGGTGTAACAGAGGGAAATTAATGTAATGTAATGTAATGAAATGAATAGTAATAACAGTAATGATAATAATATTTGATCAGGAGAACAGATAGACAAAGAGCTCGCCCTGACCTGAAGTGTTGAAGAAGATAAAAGATGGACATCAGCAGAAAGGACTGGTTCTCATGACAGGAAAAACATAAGACTGGGTCAGCTTACCTAGACGCCGGTCTGCCTGGACCCCGTGCGTAGCTCGGACTGGATGGCGTTGTGGGCAGTGGCGAGCCCAGGCTTCGTCTTTGAGTTCAGATTTAGTTTTAGTCGGATCACAAAAGAAGATAAATGGCTGGTTTCAGAGAAGTTCATGGGTGTGGGTCGGCTGTTGAGTCCGTAGCTTCTGCAAGTCAGCGTCCATACGGGTCCTCTCTCAGCTGCCGGCTTCACCTGAGTCTTATTACGACATTTAAAAGCCACACAGGGGAAGAGTGCGCACCTCAGTGATGGTGTGTTTAACACTATCAGGCAACTCAGATCAACACAAGTTGAACCCATTCTACATGTCCTCCATAAAAACCAGTACAAGACATTTACAAAACAGAAAGATAAGGTAGAAGAAGAAGAACCCTTCTGTTCCCTTTCATTCCTAACAGATACTACATTACATAAAACCAGTCTGGGATTTATTACTACATTGAAGTATAAGAAACTTTAAAATATATATCTGCAGTGATAAGTCAAGAGATGTTGAGTTACGGAAAGTGTGTTGAATTTAAATGTTCTTAAATCACCTCATGTTGATTTTTTTATTTGGACTGGTTTCCTCCAGAACATGACACCACCATAGACCCAATGATCCTTTAATAGACATTTCATTTATTTATTTTTTTTACGTCAAAAGCTTAATTGAACGAAGCAGCAGTTCTTGTCAGTGAAAGTGTCTGAATCCCTTAACAGAGCTGCATTTCATTGTCATGTCACAGTTTCTCAACAATGATCCTTAAATCGTGACTCTTCTTTTTGCTTTCCCTGTCCTTCACACATTGTCTATTTCATCTATCCCACAGTCAATTTAAAACTCTGCTTCGCTGAAGTGTTTCGTGCATTCAAAGACCAAACCCTGAACTGTGTGTCCGACACTAAAGGAGGAAATCCAACCTGAATTCCTTCCCTCTAGATGTTTGTTCTTTGGGGAAGAATTTGTTCAAGTTTAAATATTTGGAGCTGTGGCTGGATGCCTCTGCTGTGTGTGTGCGTGTGTGTGTTCGTGTCATCCCTGTATCTGTGAAGGAAAAGAACCAATCGAGTTGTTACGTGTCACGTCTAGGAGACATCTTTGGTATTTTTTATGAACTGTGTATGTGTTCCAACTAAAACATAGACATGGTTACATAGTTTGCTTTCTGATGAAAGTCTGGAGACTTCTGACATCTTGATGCATTTCTGATTCTGTCCTCCGACTTTTAAACAATTGTATAAAAGATTTTGCTGTTTACTGGCACTAATGGGAGGGAGATGAGGAGGTAGAAAACACATGACTCACATGGTGCGCTCGTTGGCCCAGCCTTAACGTCAATATGGTTTTCAGATTTCGATACAGAGTTGAAGGATCTGCAGTGGATAGAGATTATGTCTGATAAAAGTTGTCTCCGTTAGAACATTCTCAGTATGTTATCAGGAGGAAACGGTCCTCATGATGCTTTTTAACACAATGTCATCCACCTTTAAATACAAGACTTTGAATCAAAATAGTCTCCTGACTCATTCGTTTAATCATGTTTGGTTATTTAGGAGAAGTGACGACAGAGCCCATCATCCTGCGGCATCATCGTATGACATTAACCGAGATTCCTGCACGTCATTCCCCATTTTCCAACTCTATCCACTGTCGTGTCACCACAATTAAGGCATTGAAAGCAAAAAATCAAGAAGGTAGAGACGTTTTTGCTCGTTCATCTTGTGTTTGTGATGAGAGGGCAGTAAGTGTGTCTGATGTTCTGGTACAGTGTAAAGCTAGTTTAAAAAGGGCAGCTCTGTTTCCACCTCCTGTTGGGTGCAGACTCTGTCCTCTTTGGGAAGCCAAGTCTGTCCGTGAGTCTGTACATCGTCCTACGTTTACTCAGTTTTGGATCACTCACAGCGCTCAGGTGTTCCGCCACTGTCTCGATTGAGGGCCAGATAACATTCTAATTAGCTCTGTTTTTTTTTTTTTTGGTTGATTCTTTCCAACGTGTTAAAGAGTTCTCTTTTTGTTGGGTTTCTGTCTCTGCTTGTGAACAGAGTCCCAGAACCAGGTGTCTAAGAGAGCAGCTCTCTGTAGTCTCTCTGGAGGTGAGGGCTTTGTTATGGAGCGTTGAATTGTGATAAGTAAAGGGTATCTTCCTCATTCTGCTCTGCATGCATCATTTGGTGTTAACCAGCTAACCAAAGTACGTCTGAAGCTCCCTGTGAGATGAAGAATGCTAAGAGGAAAATGACACACCTACAGGAGTGTGTTAAACAGATGTGCTGCAGCAGTTTATCTGACAGTATGAAAAGGTCGCCTGCACCTTCTTCCCGTTTCTCGTCCCTGGCCTCTGCTCTGCAGGATTGGGAGGAATTTAACTGGAAGAGCCAGGGGGAAGTGAGTCATCAAGTCTGGCCATGCATGGAGAGGAGCTGGGCAGACAGGGTGTGTGTAGGAGAGGCCCTGCCTGTAACCAATCACAGGCGGGATCCTGGCCGCTTTCTGGAGAACTTGCATCCCTTCCAGGCGGGAAAATTCAAGCGGGATGGAAACGTGTCATTGATGGAAACATTTACAGTTTAAACTCCATTTCAGAAGAGAGATTGAAAATATGCAGCACAGACTCGAGTCCAGATGTTGAAACACATGAACGTCCTCAGGAAAACTCAACAAACATGTTTGGATCATCAGGAGGAGACAGAAGAAGCTGACTGATCAAAGAGAGAGAAAGCACCAAAAAAAAAACACATCACATGGAAACAAACTCGGCTTCAGTTTGTAGTTCTGTGTTATGTAAGGCTTTGGCAGCAGAGCTGTGGTGTGGCCACCGGGACTTTTCTTGTCAGGAGGCCTGAGAAACAAATATAAAGATGATGGAGAAATCACTGCCACACAGAGGCCCATTACCGTGAGACGGCTGCAACATTTATTGTATTAGCAAGTAGTTAATTGTGCACATAAAACACCAAACGAAAAGGTGAAGCTCGTAAATATCAGACAAGTCCCTTCACTGTTTTATTGCTGAGATCTGAATAAGAAGATCGATTCCTCTCCCTACAGTAAACATGAAGCTGAAACCAGCAGCTGGTGAGCTTAGCTTAGACTGGGAACAGATAACAAAGACATCTTTCCATCCTCTGTAAAGCTCACTTAGTAGAGTAGAAGAGATGGAGTAAGTTAAGATAACTAAATTGGTCTGTAGGACTGAAAAAAAAAAACAGGGTTGGTTTAAAGTTTGTGCTTACGTTTTACGTTACACTAAAATTGGGTTGATGAATAAAGTTGATGAAACTAAAAGATACAATACTACAGTGTAAACCCTTTGAATTTTAAATAACATTATAAAAGACTGAGGGGGGGGGAATCTCCCCAAAAATATTTACACATGCAGGATGAAAGCAAAGGGGATTAACAAAGTTAACGTTTTGGGTGGTAGGTTTAATGAATGTGTGAAATATTTTACATGTAGGGCCGAGCTGAGCAATGAAGGCCTGTTGAAAGTTGGGGGTGAGGATGACACTTTCAGTTAAAGATATGGGAAGTCATGAAGTTCAGCAGTTACGTTGTTAACCGTTCTCTTTCCGTTCAGTTTCAAAAACAATGAAAAACAGAAGCTAACAGAGAGCTGGAAGTCGGGTGTTTCCTCCAGTCGGGTGTAAATCCTAACCCTCATCATCACCCCTCATCACCCCTCATCACCCCTCATCACCCGCACACTTCCTTAGGACTGTAAGACAGTCATTTCGAAACATTTTAAGGGTTTTATTTTATATATATTTTACATACTTTATCCAAAGTCCCTTCAGTGGACACACGGTGACAGCCTCATATGTAGGGAGTGTGAGCTCTGCTGAATCCGACATCGCTCTGCGTGAACATCATTACTATTCATTTATGCAGGGGAGCTGCTGGTCAGTGTCAGCCTGCAGGAACTGATTTATCAGACCCAACTTGCTTAGTCACCACGTTGCATCTTATATTAGATTGAATACTGCAGCGGTTCACGTCTCAGGCCTTTACAATGACATGACACACCACAGGCTGTTTGAGGAAGCCACGATCACCCGTTGGTGTTTCAGTTGATGGAGAGTAGTTCAAGTCGGAAAAGAAACGGCAAAATATAATTCACTTTGTCGACACAAACCTGGCTGCATGTTCTCGCCTATCCTCATCCTCCAGCTGTGGCGAAATCTGGCATATTGCTACGCGTGCTTTTCACGTTGAACTTTCTAGAAATCTTAACAGGATTAACATACTGCTCAAGAATGTTGAGTATGTACTTGGTGGGTCAGTTGACGAATGGCTTAAAAGGCCAATCCTGAATAACTTTGAGGCTATTGCTGTAATGATCTTTGAGAATTACGAGGAGCAGGGGGCTCATTGCTATTCCAACACAGCAGGGTTTGAACTGTGTCAGCGTTAGCCCAGGAAAAGCATTTATTGTCATCCGTCTGGATTGTTCTATTCCTTGGAGGCTCGTTTCGTCGCTGGCTCTCTTGAATCTTTTATCAGTTCTGATCAGTTCATCTGGTGTGTGTGTTTGTGTGTGTGTGTGTGTGTCTCTGTGTGTGTGTGTGTGTGGATCCTGCAGTGGCAGCTGTAGTCACGTGATCCAGTGCGGCTCTTTTGTGCATTGTTTCATATCGTGCTTGTGACCAGCAGGGAAAGGAGGAGATCTTGTCGCACTCTGTATCACCCTCCTTTATTCATCATTGGCTCCCTTTTAGAAGAAGTCTAACTGGCTGCTAAGACACTATACCACAACACAAAATAATCTAAAGGTTTATTAATGGCTCTTTATGCCCCCATTTAAGAGACAGGACGGTGAACAGAGGAGAGAGAGTGTGGGGAATGAAATGAAGGAAAAGAGCCACAGGTCAGATTTGAACCCGGCCTGCTCTGGAGCCTTTGTACATGGGGCGTGCACACTAACCACTCATTTTCCGGCGCTCCAACACTGAATAATCTGACCCAGCAGCTGACCGATGTTGCCCCTTTTGAATATTTCGTCTTAACCCTCCTTCTCTCTCTCTCTCTCTCTCTCCTGTCTGCTTCCTTTTCGATGGCAGGTGGATAATGCCAAAGTTCTCCACTATGTCGGAGCAGGCATCGCCTTCCCCACCAGTATGCTGTTTGTGTCCCTGCAGTCAGCGCTGACTTACCGACTGGCCAAGACCCAGGGCGAGTACAACGTGGCCCACCTCCGGCTCTGCATGACCCTGCTGGCCTTCGTAGCCTTGGTGCTCAGTATCCTTCTGCAGCCACGAAACAGATGGCAGCCCTGAGGCGGTCAAGTGCTTTAATGTAGAGCATACAGTAGTCCTGCCAGCCTGATGAAAGACAGAAACATCCACCGTCACTCACTGTAATGATTCAATTTCAGACCCTGTCTTTAGATGTAGCAGTCTCTTTATTCCGGCTATATGTGAAATTCAAAGGTTCACTGAGAAAACAACAAACCTCACCATAACTGTAATGGTTTAATTAGAACTGCTGCTAATGCTTGTTTCCACACCACATTGCATTTTGAGGTTTTAATGATTTCTTTTCATAATATTTGTAATAATATTTTGTTTTTAAGCCTAAAATAATTGGTAATAGGTCCTATCCCATCAGCCTTCTTGCCCTGCCTTGTTTTCTACGGTAGCCGAATTGCCCGATTGTGGAAAAAATGATTGTTTATTGCATGAACAGCTCGTAACCTTTGAGCACCCACACTGCTTCGCTGTTGCTGCCCTTAACCATATTTCAGGCGGCGTGTTTTTCTGCCAGGAGAGCTTCGTCCTTCAACACGCGTCGGCCATCTTCGAATGGGTGTTCTGCGTCATCGTCATGCTGTTTTACGGGACATTTGCCTTCGAGTTCGCCGGCATGTCAGGAGGTACCATGGCCGTGCTGGCTAGAGGAGGGGCCCTGGGGCCTGCTGGGAGAGAACACAAGGTGGACGCACTGGGACCAATGGGAGGGCCCGGCCCACACTCACAGCCTCACCCACACCACCCTGAAAACATGTCCATCCTGTAGCCTGCTGGCACATCTCCATGCCACACAGTTGGCTTGTTTATTCCTCTATAAACTGCGGTTGTTGAATGAATTTTAATTATTCATTTCCAGCCACATTCCTCTGAAGCTTTGAGATAATCCAGGCCAGTACCGTCGCTGTTCACGACAGAGTGGATTCTACTATTTCGACCACAGGGGTGTCGATGTGCTGCCACTGTGGAGAGCTCAGATCATACTGTGCTCACATCAGAGCTCGGGGGTTTCCTAAGGACTTGTTTGGCGTTTGCACATTGCACAAGTGTGAAACCAACATTTGTCCAACCCAGTCCTGTTTGTATTTAATCAATCAATTCAAGATTTGTTCGGTTCCCTTGAAATCCTGTATTCTCTAAGTCTCACTTAGTGGCCTTGGAGCATTTCTACTTGGAGTGTCTGCCTTGATGCTTTCATTATACATAAAGGCGGCTGCTGGACGGCCGAGCTGACAGTATTATAGCTGTGAGACAGACAGAGAGAGAGAGAGAGAGTGCATAAGAGTTACAGAGAGAGCAAGGTTGCTTTGCCCACAAGAATGTTGAAAGCAATAAATTCAATGAAACAGTCGATTAAATAGAGAGCTTAATGAATGTTTTCTTGAGATAGAGCAGGGCATCCATTTGCATTTAATCATTTAAACTTGCATCAAAAAATATTTTAAAAAAAATTCAAATGACTGTTCAGTAAAAGACTCCTTCATTGTATTAAATTCAGTAAGTTTGAGCTGCTGTTAGCTGATTGCTTCGTTTATTCAGCCTGAATATTCTGTCAAACAGACTGTATGCTGCCTTTCAGCCACAGGCCACAGCTTGATGTTAAAGAAAGTCGACATTTTTGAGGAGCCATGGAAATGTCTGTTAGTTTTTTTTTTTTTTGGTTTATACAGATTTGAAATAAGCTTCATCAAGCACTTGATGTGTGGTTAAATCCACAAAAGCATGCCTTACGTTTTGTAGTGTCCATGGTGCCTCGTGACTTCAAACCTTTACGTCTGACTCTGGACAGCACCCTGTCTCACGCTCTTATTGTTTACTGGAAGGAAGATGAATCAAATACTATTCAAAGTTTAAGGTCAACATAGTACTGTAGAGTTCTGCCAAAGGAAGAGAATGATACTGCGTCCAGCAGCCAAATGTGAGCCAGCTAATTCAACCCAGAGCTCTGGCTTTATTGAGTTTAGTGACGAGGCATCACGCATGTTCTCAAGTTCTGTGGGTGGAGGGCTGCATCTCATTAATCCTAACAAGGAGAGGCTCAAGCGTTAATGGGGTCTTTTGGGTTTACTACTTACTATACTTCTTTGAAACCACACTTTTAAGCTTTTTCTCGGCCGTATTTTGTAACAAAGGGAAAAGAGATTTTGATCATGCCTGAGGTTCACTGTGCTGCTTCCTTGTGACTTTTCTGCAGAAAATGCCAAATACCTGTTTGCCAGAGGCATTGGTGCTAAAACACAGAAGTCCTTATGCTGCCATTTCCCCTGAGTTTATCTGTGATGTAGTTGTGATCTGAAAGCAATAAGAGGGAGTGAATGAGCTGGAACAGAAGGTTGCATGCACACATGTGAGTGCCAGGAATATCAGAGCAGATATTTGCCACTACAAATTGATTTTGAACACTACAAAGCCCCCTGCTTACACCTACACTGACTTTAGGTTGTTTCAAGTGAGGTTAACCCTTTTGTTTTTCTTTCAGTTGAAACATTTTCTGTACTCATTGACTTTCTCTGAAGTTCTATGAAGTTACATAACACAGAATTACTGTTTAATGTTTAAACCCTGTTCCCCATCTCAGTACCATATTAAGAAACTCTGAGCTCTCTGGTGTGAAACACATCCTGCAGAGGGTTTACGACAGAAAAAAGTCTCGTTATTACACCATCTCATGGTAAAAAATACCGCTCTCCTCATGCCACCACCGGCCACATGTTTGCTCAGGATTTTATTTAGCGCCTGTATTTTGAGTGAAAGTGGTTTAGTTGCTCAAAAAAAAAAAAAATTCCAGCTCAGTTTTTGCAGCTCCGTTACAGACGGACTGGAAACTCAAGCTGAAAGCATGACTATCTCTGAACAGACTGAAAGGGGAAAAGCTTCCCCATGCTTGTGTTTGGAATAAGATGGAAAGCAACTATGCTGATCACCTGCTGCCCTCTGCTGGCCAAACTGCGTGTTGCAGATTAGATTAGGGCTGTTGTGGCAGAGTTAACCTCACAGATGGTTGATTAATTGTTGGAAAATAATACAGAAAAGGCAAAGTCAGCTGCACGTCGAGGCCTGATCTACAAAGAAGGTATAATGAAGAGCACTTGAATCCTAGTCTGTGCGTCTGGCTTAAGCTGTGCAGCGATGTTACATGGCATCCCTTTGAAGGAAAACTGGCCTTTTGACACTCGACACACAATATGCCTTAATTTAACCGTACAAATTCAGTGCATTTTAAATGTAAAGCCTATTGCTGCTTGTGCTGCTCTTTAAATAAACATGTTGTCATTACACAGTAACTGGAAGTATTTTAGTTTTCTCTCAGTGCATGTTAAGAATCTATGCAAAATGGGCATTTCCAAAAGAATACTACAGAATCAAATATTTAGTTTTAGAAACGTTCTCCCAGCCTGCACGGCTGCTCTCTCTACCTTCTGTCCGTATTAGTCTGGGTTACTGATCAGTCTGTACTTTGCTCTCAGGAAAACGTTATGACACCAGCTGCATTCGTGGTTTGATTCAAAGCAGAATGACCTCCGCTTGCTTCTGCCTTCTGCTGTCTTTGTTTTAAAGGAATGTGTTCTATACTCATGAAGACCTTTCATGTTTTTGTTTCGTTTTGTGTAGCGTAGGTGCGACTGCCTTTTTCACAGTTGTGGGATTGATGGTTAGACATAATATATCAGATTATTTTTGTTAATCAAGACTCTGTAAAGCTGCAAATAATAAACATTCCTGTATATTTGGCTTGTGAGCATGTGTATGCGACTCAAACACACACGGTTAAATATCTACAAGATAAAACATTCAATCGGTAGATCATTGGTGAGCTTTCTGACAAACTGACAAACATCTGTTCATTCTCAAATGCTAAATGCTAAATGCTAAATGCTCCCTATGTGCCTTATGTATTATTTTGATAATGAAAACCAAAGAGGTTTAGGTTGTAAATTCTATTTTGATGAAAAGTCATATGATTGTATATATATGCCTTAATGTTCAACAAATAAATGTTTTAAGAAAAGCTGGTGTTTGAATGTCCTTCAACTTCACAGTTCAGTCATATGAATCTGTTACCCAGAATGCAGAGGAAACAAGCAGACAACTGGTATTATATTTCAGATTTTCTTTATTGTTTTAATTATTTACATTGTCCACTTTCTCTGCCAGTAAATTTGACAGCGACATGACAGAGATCAACACATTAAATAGAGGGAAATGTCTCTTACAAAAAAAAACCAATGTGGGCTGTAGATGAAAGCAGGGTCCACCACAAAGTCCAAAACCTCTACAGACATGAAGTGTAACGACTGTTCACAACTCCTACATGCATTAAAAAGTGTTTGAGAAGGCAATCATTTAATGCTTTGTAACTAAGCTGACTTGAAATCTTCTTAATGCCCTGTGAGATATAAGAACGGTCTCGTTTTAACTTGAAATGCACGGAGAAGGATGTGCTATAAATACGCTGTGTAACATGGCAGAAGTCTGAAATGATTTAAGATTAAAAGAAAGCTTCAAACCAGCTGAAAATCTTAAAGGCATACAAGGATCAGATTGTATAAAATCACGCAGCATTGATATTGCATCTTAACGTTGAAATGCAACATTTGTAAGACATCAGTGTGGTCCACTTAATTCTTAAGTCTTTAGTCCCAGCAGCTAGCGAAGAGAAGAGAATGATGCAGAGCGAAATCAGAAGATGTCGAGTTTTGGCTAAATTCAGTCTAGGGATGCACCAATGTACCAAATGAATATTATTATAGCCGATATGAATTGATTAGTTTTCAGGGTCAAACGTGAGAGAAAATGTTGGTAGTGTGTGAGTCTTTCAACGCCTCGTGGTTATATCAGCGCAGTTTTTAAGACATGTTTCATGAGAGGGGGATACTCACAATCATTTAAATATATCCGAGCTCATTTGAAAAACAGACACAGAAAGAGTTATGAAGAAGTAATCATAAAAACATCAGGATCAGATTCTGCACTCAGCTAAGTTATGTCAAACATCTGTAAGGGTCCAAATTTTTTATGATTGGTGCATCGATAACTCAGTCACATATACAGACTCAGTCACAGCTGCAGGACTGCAGGTACAAAAGGCAAATATATCATTCACAAGCAAGCCACTAGATGAGCTGTGTGCAATAAAAGTGACTTGATATTCAAATCAAACATTGCTTCCATAAGGATGGTACAAGAAGATCGATATGACAACATAAGGCTGTGCGTGGTTGATGAATGGCAATATATGATTAAAAGGGTTTTAATGACCTGTCTTCTGATTGTAGGCAAACAGCTGCCTGAAGCATACATTACAAAGTAAGACTCATTTCACAGTTGTGACCAAAACAAAAAAGTTTTCTTCTGAAGCCAAGTCTTTGGTTAAGCAATAATTACACTTCTTACACTCATTTGAATAAAAAAAGAAAAAAAAGAATCATGTCTTTGTTCCCAAGGTCCTATAATCCACAATACCATTTATATATATAAGACACATTCAAGAATCTGTTTCCTTATGTCTTATATTTGGTGTGTGCTTTCCAAGATCAACTTGTTGAAATCCACCTCTAATTGAATTCAACAGTACAAGCTTTATTTCAAACATCCATCTCCCTCTGTTCTTTAAAAAAAAAAAAATTAAACCACTAAGAAAGCCCAAACCAATCGATCACAGATCCCTGGGAACATCGGAATGACCCCTGTGACAGAAGTACTGTTGTTTAAAAAATACACAGAGGTTGTTTGTTTACATCATACTGGTCTGACAGAGGAACTATCACAGCTTTGAGGTAAAAAAAAAAAAAAAAAAAAAGTATTGTATTTGCTGTGTTGTACCTGTGTAGTAAGCTATCAGGTAGTGTCTAGTGACTGTATGAATATTTGTGAAGCACCAATAGTTTTGTAGAATGTTTCTGAGATGTCCTCTGCAGTGTCCCTTTATGTCCGTCAGATGCAAATTATGACCTCCTCACCTCTTTAAAGCTGACATAGCCCTAACTTACTCTCTATTATATAAAAATGTCCTATCAAAAGATGGAGCTGGCTGGTTGTAACCTGTGTGGAGGCCTCTTGCTCAGCGTCCAGGTGAGTCGATTAGGACGAGCCAGGTGGAGTATTTTAGTAGACGAGCTTTTTGGGCTCCTCCCAAGTAAACTCTGATCGGCCAAAGTGGCCGTAAGAAGCTGTCTCCTGGTAGATCGGCCGCTTCAGCCTCAGTTCCCTGAGGAAAAAAAAAATGTATTTCATCAAACCATTAGAAGGCATTCAACCTAAAAACTGAAAAATAAAAACATATATCTTCAGTTCCCTGTGCTTTGTACATTTATTATTCTTACCCTCACTTTGTATGTATTGTTTATTCTGATATTTCTATTTTATTTTATATTCTTAAATTGTATTTCTATACTCCCACTGCGATAATCTGTTAAAGCGCAACTGTAACAACCAAATTTCTCCCTGGGATTTTTAAAAGTATTTCTGTCTCTGATTCTGAACATCTTAAACTTTTGGAACTATACGTCCTTGATACACAGAGCATTTGCTGCACAGTAGTTGAGGACAACATCTGTGTAGACAAAGATTTAAATTTACTGCCTGTGTTTCCTCTACACAACCTCTACCCAGAGACAAGGAACTTTTTAAGTTTTAAGCTTTCCTTTCAAGTTATTATGAAAAATTACGTTTTGTTTTGGATGCAGTAGTTTTGATGGTAGAGCTCATCAATCATCCAAACTGAAACCAGCATTTAATAAAAATGTCCATCCACTAAACAGTTTGTAAGTACATTGTTTATATAACTTTGACACATTGATGGAGTGAGAGTAGAAAGCTTACCACTGATGAATGAATGCACAAAAAAGAAAGAAATAGAACGACCTATTGAGCACATTTGCAGACATCAAAATTCAGGGGTTACCTGGCTACCAGCAACGACTACCAGCAACGATAAGTTGTTGCTTTGTATAGCGTCATTGTTGTGGTATTATTAGTAACATGAAGCTTTGGGAACTAAACGTTTATGGTACATTGGATGTAAATGTGAATTGTGTGTACAATTCAACACGGCACACAGCTACACTAATGCTGCAGAGATTTTCTAATTTGTACAGAAACCAAAATAAGTCTCATTGAACTCTTGAACTACTCTAACACATCATAATCCCTTAAACTATACTACACACAGCAGTCTTATCTTTGTCCTACACATGTGAGATACAGACGTCATAAATTCATGTTTACCTGACAATGACTCCTGGCCTCAGATCAAAGTTCTTGTTGACGATGTGCAGCAGGTCTGACTCTGTTTTCTCGGAGGAACCGTAGGTGAACAAGGAGATGGAGAGAGGATGGGCCACTCCGATAGCATAGGACACCTGCGACACACACGCAAACAGATAGATAGCAGTGTTTTCATCAGTTCATATTTATGCCACAAACACTGGTCACCAACATGAAGCATAAGCCCTCGTTAGTGTTCGCACCTGAACCAGAACTCTCCTGCACAGTTTGGCTTTGACCAGGGACTTGGCCACCCAGCGAGCGGCGTAGGCAGCAGAGCGGTCGACCTTTGAGAAATCTTTACCAGAGAAAGCTCCGCCCCGTGAGCTCCCCAACCTCCGTATGTGTCTACAATGATCTTCCTGCCGGTCACACCAGCATCACCCTGAGAGACAAAGACAGATTGGGCATGAGCAAAAAGATAAATAAATGTTGGGACGTAGATTCAACCAGCAGTTTGAGCTGGACAGTCACCTGAGGTCCTCCAATGACGAAGCGACCACTCGGCTGGAGGTGGTAGATGGTCTTGTCGTCCAGATATTTAGCAGGAACCACGGCTTTGATCACCTGACAAAATCAATGCAAATCAAAGCGTTTTAATGACTGAAACAACATGCATGTCTAAAGTCCAGTTACGTGTGTTCCTGAGGCTCTACCTTCTCTTTGAGGACCCTCTTCTGTTCCTCCAAAGTGACGTAGTCGTCGTGCTGCACAGAGATCACGATGGTGTGAACTCTCTTGGGGATCACAGCTCCGTCCTTCTGTTCATAATGTACCGTCACCTGATGGACGGACAGCAAAGACAAGAGTTCATTTAAAGAATGTTGGTATTACAAATATGAACCTAATCTTCAATTGTCTCTCTTTCTCTCATATAAATCTAGATCCTGCTTCTGCTGCTGTTGCCCTGGTAACCTTAATACCTCCATAGGATCATAATAGTTTTGGCTAAATCTGTGTTTTCTTGTGAAGACCCTACTCTAAGGTTTTAGATAACATTTTATGTTTTCAAGAAGTTCCAGCCTCTGATTTATGCACGTTATAAAGCTGCTGTTAGGATACATGGTAAGTTTTGTGATCAAACCAAGATGTTCCAACAACCTACAGGCCTCAGAGCTTTTACACTTTATGTCATAGAAGTGTAGTCAGCTAAATGAATCAATCAAATGTCTGTTATTTTTGCACAAGGAGCTTCATCTTCAATACTTAAAGTATCAAGTGTTGCACTTTTTTTTTTAGTTGGCAGTACAATTGAAGATTTAGCTTCTGGGAGACATCAGCTGATATCCTCACCTGTGTTTTAGAGTCGGGACGCAGCCAGGGAACGGTGCCGCTGCGTCTGAGCTCGGCCATCTTTGAGTTGAGTTTGTGGGCTAAGACGATGGTGAGAGGCATGCACTCCTCTGTCTCATCTGTGGCGTAGCCAAACATCAGACCCTGCAGAGAGAGAGAGAGAGAGACAGAACTGAAACAGAAAGTTGCTAACTTTGCCTTATAATACAAAACAACGTGAACAAACTGTGATGTTTGACTTATGTCACTATCAATTGTGCCAGAGGACACTCTGTCCTGTTGCGACAGTCCCACCTGGTCTCCAGCTCCAATGTCCTCCTCACATCTATCAATGTGGACTCCCTGAGCAATGTCGGACTCTGCTGCTCCAGAGCCACCAGCACGTTACACGTCTTGTAGTCAAAACCTGCAGAGGAGAAGCAAAAGAGAGAGTTAAGCTGCGACTCTGCCAACACGGAGTACATATTACCAATATTTCTGTTGATTTTCAGGATTCCCCCCCCCACACCTTTTTCGGAGTTGTCATAGCCGATGTGTTTAATGGTGTCCCTGACCACCTTCTGGTAGTCCACATTGGCTCTAGATGTGATCTCCCCACAGAGCAGCACCATGCCCGTCTTACACACCGTCTCTAAAAAAACATATTGAACATTTTTAATCATCTGCGGCTCAAGCAAAAATCTTAGGATTACCTTTGGACTTCAATTTCTTGGAAACTGGCTGGAAAACAACATGGAAGGTCACTGGGTTTCCCCCAGCAAGCTTACATTTTGTGACTTTCAGAAGTCAATATTGAAACACGATACATTATCTCAGATATGCCTTTGACTTCCAAAACAATCAGGCCATGTTGTTTTTGTATTAAAAGAATGTTACATTTATGATTTTAAAGAAAAAGGGAATATAAACATCTCTACCTCCCTTTGTCTTTTCAGTGTAACAAGAACAACAACTTGAACTGATCTGAATTCTAGTTTCCTCACCACAGGCGACTTTGGCGTCCGGGTCCTGCTTCAGGTGGGCATCCAGGACAGCATCACTGATCTGGTCACAGATTTTGTCTGTTGGGAAGCAACAAGTAAATGTTTAGATTCAGGACACAAGTAGTTTGTTTGACTTTGTAATTGCTATAAGATTTCAAAGGCCTGTTTGGTTGGAACAGCTGAAATAGAAATAATTTTATTAGAAGGATATAAGAAACTATGTGTGTAGCTTTACTAATGTAGGCTTTTTAAGCTTTTAAATTAACAAAAAGGATTTTCTAAGTTGAAAGACCAACTTTTGTTGAAGGGTTAAACACTTAAATGTGTGTGTGTGTGTGTGTGTGTGTGTGTGTGTGTGTGTGTGTGTGTGTGTGGACTTGTTTGTATCAGCTGGATTTGAGTGCAGCAGCAGGACAATGCCTCACAAACTGCTCTATTCATCACTTTGGCATCCCGCTGAAGCAATACAACTCACAGATTACATCAGAAATACATCAACATCTGGCTGTTCAGAACACTGTGAACCCCAATACTTAGTTTGAACACAATCTCTCAGGCATGGAGCAAAAATATCTATATTAAATGTTGAAGTGCACCTGAAGGACTAGACGTGTCTTTTACTCTGATCCCGCTATCAGTGGGAAAAGACCAGACTGTGAGGTGTGTTATCAAATCAAAGTGGGGTGCGCTGCAGCCTTCTGTCAAGGCCAGGCACCTCTTTATATGTGCAAACATTGTTGTTTTTTTGTCTAAGTCTGAACCCCCTGAAGAGACTACATCTATTAGAAATCAAATCCAAGGCCTGGTTACAAGATTTCCTTTAAACAGAAAGGTTTTGCTTAACAGTGAAGTAAGAAGAAAAATAACGTGTGGAGACATTTGATCAGAACTGGCAGCTTTGCCTTCTGCTGGTAAAATAGATAACATTAAGACTGTAATAAACACAAATGCATAAATCTTCTGGAAAATTAAGCCATCTGCTTTTCTTGACAGCATGGAAATTGGGAAATTGGCTTTGACAGATTGACTCCCTTTTTAGAAAACGTTTTTCAAATGTGATTTAGTCAACCTTCATTTCCTTTCATTTAGTTCATAAGTTACCACTTTTCTACTTCTGTATGTTTCTTTCTCTTGGAGTCTAAAATGATTTTTTACTTTTGATCATTGTGTCACATTCTGTACTACAGAGCTGCACTGGACTGGCTCAGTCTGCAGAGGTTACTGATTATTGATCCGGCACCGGGGACTTTGTAAGGTTACATATTTGTGAAAGGATTACAACACACTGACAAGAGGGGAGGATGGGAGGAGGGCTCCAAAGGCAGCAGCCTAGAGGGTAGAGTACATGATATTAACTGTTATCATTAGGGTTAATGTCAGAGAAGCTTTAAAGAACAAAGTGCAAATAGAACAACTGGGCTTCCCTTTATTTTAAGTCTCCTTATTTGGATTTAAATTTTCAATTTCACATATCGTCTTAGTAACTTTCATTCATCATTCACCACCCTTGGGTGCTGATAGGAGGAGGATTGATTTGAACTGATATATTTTGAACCCCGTTAATGTGTTTACGGCTACTTCCTCTTTGATTATGTGAAAGCTGTAAGATAAGGTTGCACTGTAGCAATAATTTGCATGCATTTTACATTTGTATTATGAAATTGATATCCCACTTTTTGACCCTGAAATCATAAATAGTAACAACCACCATGGAGCCCACATGCCCCTCTCGTTTGTAGGTCTTTTTTTCCCCCCAGTGTGCAACCTTACACCAGTCACACACACTGACACACATTCACACTCTGTACCCCAGAAGTGAGAATGAGGAGCAGTAAACACATGTTGCTGTGAATGGAATACCAACCATGCTTGGAGAGTAAATACGCAGAACTGTAGACTTATAGTGGACATGAAGTACAAATTAAAATAAGTTTGTTCTTTGGATGTTTTTCTTTCTCCAAAGTCACACTGTGTTTAAGTAGCAATGTTGTTTTATTCTTGTGTAAAGGTAAGAAAGAGGTACAGATAAGTTGTTGGAATTGGTGAAGTGTTAGGAGATTCTATAAGTTGTAATATATCTTGAAGTCAAACCTATAATGCACCTCATTTCCAGAGTAATCTGAAGTCCAAGTGTCACACAAAAAGTTGATAATAAAAGACTCACCTGGATGTCCCTCTCCTACGGACTCCGACGTGAACATGAAAGAGCCATCGTCCAGCAGATCACTCATGTTTTCTACAGGGCCAGGTACAGTGTACTCTCAGGTAGAAAAGGTTCCTCGGTTCCCACAAAGAAACAGTCCAGAGAGATCTAAAGGCTGCTTTATATTCCTGTTGGTTCTCTTGAGAGAGAAATGAAGGAAGAGAAGCCAACAGCCCTGCAGCCAATACAAAGTCTATCCTTCTAAACTCCACGTCTGTGTCCACATGGGCCAATATATATGGCTAAGAGAACGCACGCACACACACATACACGCACACACACGCACACACACACACACACACACACACACACACACACACACACACACGCATGTCATGTGAATCCATGGGACAGTCCATTTCAGGGGGGAGTGGATGATGGGAGGGTGTTTCAGTGTGTGGAAACAGCTTGTTAACCTCTTGTGTGCTGTACAATTCCTGTGTGTGTTTATGGTCCCCACCTCTGGGGTTGCAGGCTTTGCCTCAAGGTGTGATGTTTTATGAACGAGAGCAGGAAGATCTTTAATAAGGGGTCTACCTCTCCTGTCATAGTAGTGGGACAGCTCTACCTATTGACAAAGAGATAAAGGGATATATTTATAACTTTTTAAATGATGCAACTACTGCTGTTTACATCACGCTACACGCAAAGCGAGTGAGTTTAACAGTGGTTAAAAGTTAATACTTAATGAGCATTTAAATGAACCAAAGCAAAGATCTGTGAATGTAAAATATGTAGAGATGGGTTGTTGTTAACTAACAATGTAGTTCAACCACTGTGTTTTGTATGAAAAAATATGCTTTGACATAATGGTTAATGTAGTAGATTAAAATGCATAATACTTATCTAAGTACTGAAGTAATAATTTACTGTTCAATACATAAGTAATAGTTGTTTTAAGCTTCTTTCCAACACTGCAAATGATTTAGTTTGAAGCAGACAGTCAACTGTTTCATAACGATGTGTCTCTCAGACATCACTGCATCTATGCACCTTACTGCATCTGTGTTTTTAATGCTGAAAATCATGGACTGTATGGGGTTGTTCTTTGTGCAGGTGATGCAGCAGACACACAAAAACATGCTTTATGTGCATGCGCAAACGTACACCTGGAGAAACAATGGGACCGTCACCAGCACACAGACACTGACGCCGTACCCTTTCATATGGTGCAAGCTCTGTAGACAGAGAGAGACGAGCAAACCTCTGCTTATTGTAGCGTAAACAGAGTAGAGGGACAGACCCCTTTCTCTCCCTCCTGCCCTCATCTGGCTCTAATTTAGGTTAGTGTTGAGTTGGCCTAATGAAATAAGGAGAGAGTTTTAATAAGTCCTCAACAGTGAATAAAATACAACACTTCCTTGATTGTTTAAACCCACCAGAGAGCTGATGTACAAGTTGTTGTACACCCCCCCCACATGTTGCTTGTGTTGCACTTCAGTATTGAAATGCATTCAGTGACTCTTCTCTCTTTGGTATCTTTTTGGCCTTTTGGTTGATGCATTTTGTTCACTGTTAATATTCACAAGTGTTCTCAGGAATGGTTGAAAAAAATCTGACATCTAACATTTCCAATCATTGGCAAAAATATGTTTCTGTAATTGCATTAAATCAATGAATTAGCCGTGTAGTTTAAGCTAAGGAGATTTTAGCAGCAATTTACTAGCCTGAAATAAATTACAGACCATAAAGCTGGAATGAGTAAAGAGTTTAAATATTTAGCTAATGTAATGAGGAAACTATATACTAGTACACTACACACTTGAATGCACTTCAAATATTAATCTTAAGAAATGCTGAAACAGTTTAAATGGTAGGCTGAGGTAAACTTAGAAACAACTGATATAGCTATCTAACAGTTAATGGATAAAAAGTTGAAATAGTTAGTTAAACAAATAAAGAAACAGTTGAAAAAACTACCTCAAACGCATGGACAGTTGTAATAGTTAGCTAAAATGAATGAGCCGTTAAAAAGTTATGTTTTGTAATGAAGAAAAAGATGTAGGCTATTAGCTAGCTAAACTTATGAATATTTGTAAAAGCTAAAACGAATGGGGAAACCGATGAAAAAGTGGTTAAACAGTGGTAAAATAGATACCTTAAAGTTATTAACAGTTGTTAGTTAACCAAAATTCATAGATTAGGATTTAACTGTTGAAAAAGTTGGAACAGTTGAAACAGCTAGCTAGTAGTAATCGCTAAATAGTCAAACTAGCAAGCTAACAGCGAAATAGTTGAGAAACTGTAGTAAGCTAATTTAATGTTTAAAAAGATTACTAAAATACATGGCTAATGTGGAAGAATGAAAAAAATGAATGGATAAAGACAAGGAAAAACCTGAAATAGTTCATGTAATTTAAGAACAGTTAGCTAAACTCTTGAAATAGTAAAAATAATAAGTTGAAGTAGTTTGATCAAATAAAAGGTTGAAATAAATGCACATAGCTGTAGTAGTTAGCTGAAATAAATGGATCAAACTCCTATTTGTTTCAATTCATGGGCTTAACTTTTTGCAATGCATCAATAGAACTACTGCCACATTTTTTGATTACAGAAGAAGAACATGCTAACAAAGGATCACCCCAGTTCTACTGCTTATATGTGTAATGCCTCAATATCCAAATAAACCTAAACACACATTTTCACAATATTTGATCATTTATTTCTTACAACCATCCACAATTTGTTTTAGCTTTTGCCATTGGGAGTATAGCTCCCTTCCTTCCTTTGTCCATTGCATTGTGGGATGTTTTTCTGCCACCTCAAGTTGTACTTCTGATTTGCGCTCATAGCCTTGAGATGTTTACATGGAGAGGACAGAGACAACTGGAACTGATATCAACTAGATTACAGAAGAGAAGGCGTAGATGTAGGTGCAGTCTGATACCTTTAAAATGATACACCGCTGTTTGTTTTGGCCTGGAAGTGTGTGCCAGGATGAAAACACCAAAGACACTTTACGTTACGTGGGCAAACGTGAACTCTATCTAAAGTTTGTGTGTTTTGCCTCCAAACATCGGTTAATGACTGACCAAGCAGTGGGTGTTTTTCTTTTTTTTTTTAACGTCAACAAGATCATTCTGGTTACGTTAAAAGATAACAGCTATCAGAGTTTTGACATCATCCATACTGTCTTCTTAAATACATTTTGAAAGAATACATGAAAATAATGTACTTAACATGGAATTGTTACTATGTAAGTGTAACTTCATGACTTCAGCTCAATTAAACACCGACTGCTAGGGTGAGAAATCTGACCTCTAAGTGCACCACATATCACATGGAGGTCAAACTGTCAGCATGCAAAACACTATTTTGAGCCGTATGAGGTATTCTTTATACTAGATTTATAACTTAAACCCAGTGACAGCTGTGATAAAGAAACCAAACCGAGATGTGTCATCACTTGAGATAAACAGTCAATGGCGCAAAGATAACTTTGCTCTATAGGCTCGCAAAAATTAGGCAAATCAGCGTTGTACGATAACGCTGTTCAATATCGGGATGATGCTACTGCATGCGATAAGTTTATAAATATTGATGATTTACTCTGAATCTGAATAGATTTACATAACTCTATTGGTTTAGAGGGAATGGAGGTTATTGGTGCCATTCTGAAGGCCAATAGGTCAGTAAGCAGAGGTGGATTTATGAAACCTTCTAAGGACACAATCAAGATAAAGTTTAAACCCTCATCCACAGAGCTGCTGGGCCCCTAAGAAGATGAAGAGTAAAACGATAAAGGCCCGATGACCTTTGTGTTGCTACAAAGGGGGCTTTGCCAGTTATTTCAAATCTTTCAAATCGCTTATCAAGTAGAGCATGCTGTCGATTACCTTCCAAGTAATGTGTCAGAGGGCACAGAAATCCCATTTTTTAACATGTAACACGCAGACACTTACAAACCCTCAACACCCCGAAGATAAAGACACTTTGAGGCTAAACCAATCCCAAATCAGGCTAACAAGATGATAGTGTCTCCACCTTCTGTGTGATTGGCTGAATGAAATGTATGTCATATTGACCTCCACTGCATTTCTCGCAATGTTAAAAAAAAAAATCTCGGGGTCAGGACTCTTTGGTCACTTCTGGGTTAGAGAGGGAGTCAGACTCAAACTTGACAGAACAGGATGAGATAAATGAACCCTGGCCGCCTCACAGGCTGTTAACACCTGTTTGTCTTTCCTCAGGTTCAAGGACGCGCAGCTTACCTCCGCGGCTCCGCTCTCTCTGTGCTCTGAGCTGGTCTGGTCACCAACCAGTTTCATCTGGATGGTGATCAGAGTAGGCAGAATATGTTGGATTTTGCCAGTCATGAACTTTTATGGCATGTTAAAGATTGTGGTAAAATAAGTGTAGACAACTTGTTATATAAGACATGACATGACAATAAATGGTAGATAATCCCATTAACAGTCTGTCATTATCACTGATCTATTTGATGTTTATAGTTCTTTGTTATCAGTGTTTTGTTCTGTGTTTTATAGTATTTTATATGGTTCTCTGTGTTAGGGTGTTATTCCTGCTATGTTAAATTTTTTGGTTTATCGTTTTATTGCTTCTGAATATGTAACATGTGAATCATTTGCAGAATAATCAGGCAGCTTGTTTTAAATGCAAGGGATGTAAATGTTAGATTATTCTTAACATAAAGGCTGTGCAAAAGGTTATATAATTCTCTCTCTGCAATAAAAAAAAAAAAGGACCCAACAATTAGGACTCTCTTCTAAACTGAACCCTGTACATTGTAATTACTATCACACTCCTGATCTGATTGGCCTTACCAGCGCAATAAGAATGTAACATCTCAACCAATACATGCAAGTGAAAACACAACACAGGAGGTGGGGTGCAGATCTGTAGCTCTGATTGGCTGCTTTTCCTGCACACTCCCAACAGGCGCAGCATCGGTCCAAGAAGAGAGCATTCTCTGTTTGTGTGTGTGTGTGTGTGTGTGTGTGTGTGTGTGTGTGTGTGTGTGTGTGTGTGTGTGTGTGTGTGTGTGTGTGTGTGTGTTCTTGCCATGAGAATGCCAGCAGGAAAAACAGTC